AAAGTTTTCAATAAATATACTGTAGGGAAAAAAGGTAAACAATTTAAACTACAGATTAAAGCTTGTTTAAAGCTATTAGTTAAAGTCAATTACTTTCGATAGTAGTAATAAAAATAATAGTAGTAAAAATAAAAGTAATAAAAAGTAAAATGAATCTATTTAAATAACCTTAAATATATTGAACATCGATTTGAACTAAAAATTGTTTATTTATTTTTCAATTAGAGTGGCTATTAAAATTTTTCATTTAACTCCCTGCAACTTGCCTTTTTCTCACTACCAACTTTTAATGGTCTCTTAAAGCTGCCCCTATCAACGCCTGGCACACTGTCAATTTGTCAAGTTCTCAGTGTCTTGTCCACACATTCTCGCTTTCCCGGGCTCAGTGCCATATTCCCATCCTTGCACCCTTTCCCCATACCCATCCCCATCCCCATTCCCATTCCCTTTTCCATGGCCATTCCCCTTCTCATAATCGCACTCATCGAGAAGTCAACTATCAAGTTAGAGCACGAAAGGAAGCCTCGGTCACTTTCCACAAGGAGCAGGAACATATTGTAGCACGATTTTTAAAATAAAATTAACTTGAATTTGCTCTCTGCGTTGGCGGACTGAAAGAAAGGCTGTCCCCTTTGGCATGTTGTCCTTGGCTGTCACACAATCACCCGCAGACAGAAGCACAATGTGGGGAAAACTTTTCCTTCGGCGAAGAAAGAAAAGTGCAAAAAGGCAAGTCAGTAAGTAGCAAAGAATTTCCAACACAAGAAAAGCCAAGAATACGGTTTCTATACTCGTATACGTATACGTGAAAGGCACCGCAATAGACTGTCTGTTGGGTAAAAAAATATGCCACAATTGCAACATAACTTTGCAGCTTATTATTTTTTATTGCAGCTAATAAGCTTGACTTGCCAGTTAATGGCGCATTTCCGTTTCTGTTCACCGACACACAGTCACACACACACTCACTCACAAACACACACACTTTAGAGGGGAAAACCTGTCGCAAAGTTTATAATGAAAATATTTTCAGCTTAGCAACTGGCAAAGGAAGTCCGGAAAACGGCAAATGGCTACTTGTTGTTTAAACTCTCGCAAAACTGTCAAAAGCAAAAACCCTTGACACACCCTAATACACACATTCGCTCGAAAGCATTTAGCTTTTTGTCTTCTCCATTCTTTAGCTTATTAAAGTAACATTTTTTAGACACTTTTCATTTATTTTATTTGCCCATATTTCCTTATTGAAACTTTTTAGACTGGACAATGGTTTTCCTTCCGAGCACACCTCCCGTCCCGCCTTTTCTCCGCTTTCGCAGGCTTATCCCAGTAAAATGGCCTCATTTGCTTAGACTGAAAAGGACATGGAGACCAGTCAACCATTCTATTGTTGTCTTAGTCCTTGCTCATTGCAGGCATGTTGTTATTGTTGCTGTGGCTGGAAATGTATTTTGTAGCTCATTTGTGTGTTTGGCCGGAAGTTGTAACTGTGCACAGGATACGTCGACTGCCCCGATTTCACACGAGAATGGCCGGACCTAAAACATTCGTGCCGGACATTCACGGGCAAGGCGCAAACATTAGATTTCGGGCTGGATTTTTTAACGATTCTGCTTTTAGGGCAATTACTTGTGGGAGTGGTGACTTAATTTGCCGATGTTTTTTATGAGAATGAGCAAACTTATTCTTTATTTCCGAATTAAGTTAAGTGACAATGAATAAAACAACATAACTACTTATCCGAAATTCAAGTTCTGTAGAAATATGCAGTACTCTTTCCTGAAAAGTAAACGAATTCTGGTAAAAAGTGTTGGTGATACAAAGTATCAAGTTGTAAGTTCCTTTTATTACTAGGTATCATACTTGTTGGCCCTCAAAATTTCCAATTTATTTTATACCCGATGAAGATCAATTTTTACACATCCATAAAGAATATATTGATTTCTGCTTTCGCTGCTGGCAATTGCAAAAACTTTTCACGCAATTGAAAGGAATTCCGAGGAAACGACACAAACTTTTGTTACCTTCTTATTATTTTTGTTTTGTTCATTTTTATTTTTTGAATATTTTTATACGTTACGAGTATAATAAACATCAATATGCTGGGAACAGCAGACATAAGGCATCTGCTCTGCTCATGCCGTCAATAAAGAATGGGCGACAAACAAACAGAAAGCCGAGTTGACAAAAGTTTGCGCAAAAATCATAAAGTGCAGGCAAAAGTTTCTGTCCAAAAGCGGGCAACTCTCATAAAGTCGTAAACCAGAAAACCGAAAGGAGATTCGGTTGGGTTCGGCTTCGGGTTCGAGGGTTCCCAAGAAATCGACCAACATCAATTCGAAAATGGCGTAAAAGTAGCAGCGATTTGTTTGCACGCTGTAGCTGCTATTGTGGCCCTGCTGCATTTGGCCAGTTTTTGCCCACTTTGCATTTTATCTTTATTTGCATTGCGGCTAACCAGCGACAAGCATTCTTGTGGCCGGACATGTCGAGTGGTTTTTGTTTTGAAGAAAACTTTCTTTTTGCTCTTCGGCAGCCTCTGGATAGCTGCCAGCGCAGTGCAAGTGTCAAAGATTCTTTGAAAGCCCCCCCAGCGGCCCCCCACCGAACAGAATGTTTGTTATAAATTAAAGCTGCGGTCGTGTTTGCAGGGGCATGAACTTTTATCTAAGACACAGATTTGTGGGCCATAACTTGTGATGCCCCACACACACACACTTACACAATCACACACATTCGCTTGGGGGCCTTGTTTCCGCTTAGAAAATGGTTTTTCTTTTCAATTGCGGATTTTCATAAATTGTTATCGCTTTAAATTGGCTTTTAATTGGTCGGCAGGGGCCCGTGCAATTGTTGTGCTTAATTATTCGGGACTATTAAGTGAAAGATTAATGAGCCTGGGGTTTTTGCGGTTTCATAATATTGTTGTTGTCTATTATTTATGTGCAGCAGTCGGGGGTTAATTTACACAATAATTACATAGCTATATCGCGCTCTCAATTGTTCGATTTCAAACTAAAGTTAATCCCTAGCTGCAACATTACTCCTGGTCGACGATCGAAACTTAATATTCAACGGACAATAAATTATCGAAAGTCAAAGCATAAATACAAATGGCAAAGTTTCGAAAACTTTAAGAATGTTCTGGCACGGTGTCCTTGGTGTCCCGGTGAAAGAACGCACAGGCAACAACAATTTATTTGGCCAAGGGTGACATTTCAACATGGCCAGGACACGTACTGGAAGTTGGACTGAGCTCCGAGCGGAGCAGAATCATTCAAAAAGGTGCTACAACCTTGGTGCGGACAGGAGGGCATTTAGAAATTAATGATAATTGACACAATAAGCGACAAGTTGAGCTCGAGTCCGGGCAGCAAATCCAGGGGAAGGGCAACTCGGCCTTAGCTCTCCGGCCCGTGGGATAATAGTCAATGACATTAGAAGCCAATAAATAAAGGCGAATGAAAACAAACAGCGTGCAGCCCAGTAAAACGTGCAGACAGCTGCTCTTAGATATACACACAAGGAAAACATCAATAGAACAAAGGAAAATCAAATAAATAAATAACCAAATATCTAGCATATCAAAATTTAATTTACTTCATTTGAAAAAATGAAAAACTATTCCCAAAAGTCGAAGTAACAAAGAATTTCGTTGGTACTTTAAGTTTGTTTGCAGTCCAGTTGGTAATTTAATTTTTAATGATTATGTTGTTTTTTTTTTTGTATTGTATTTTTCGACGTGCAAGTACAACATTCTTAGAAACAACCAAATTTAGTTGGTTTTTGAAGGCGTCAAACACATTTAACGCCTAATTAATTTGAGGCCGAAACGCAATCGTGTGCACAACCACACACAAATTTCTTCTTCCTAATTAGGCGGAAAAATTAACCGTCTTTCTCGAAATACCAACTCAAACCCCATCCGACTTAATGCGCTCCGGCAATCAAAGCCACTGACAGAAACTATAAAATTTCAGAGCTCACGTATGCCGCTCACTTTCGCATTTATGGAAATAATTAAAACTGATTGGGCGGCCGTTTTATTGACGCCTTAGCTTTAGACCCCAACAATCATTGCCGCCCCCTCAATTGAGTTGCGTTCATCATGCACGACTTTGTCATTCAATTAACCATTGCACTGCCAATAAGTGAGTGGCACATAAAATGTGAGAAAATTCGAACGTGACTTACCAGCTGCGCGCCTACATAAATGAAGTCCTGTGATTGTTATCCTTAAAACAGTTTGCAAATTAGAAGAAAATCTTGTAAATATAAATGGAGTTGTGTTCGATTGTTGTAATGTTGTGTGAAGTTAAATAAGTCTGCAAATAAACAGCAAAACAAAAGTTATAGAAATAATAATGTACCACAGTCATAAGAACAAAAGTTCTAATATTATATTTTGTTGTCTTTCGTTTTAAATTTAATAAATTTAAATTTAAATTTAAATTATTAAACATCCTTAAGATTTGGCAAACTTAGAATCGAGCAGAAATTTAAAAATGTTCTCCCCTTTCCCTTTCCCATTCAACTACCCTTCCACATTAAACCATCTATGGGCTATTTTTGGCCCGGATCACGGATAGAAGCTTCAACTTTTGGGCTCAGCCTGGGTAGCTGCTTTGTTTTTAGAAGCTTATGTGCTCATGGCTTATATTTTGCATGGCCAGAACTGGGAGAAACGGGTGGGCAGGGAATTCGGGATGGATTGTGAAAATTTGTGGCTAAGCTTCGATTCGTTACAATTGGCCAATATTTCGGCTTTGTGCTGCAGAACAATGTGGCCTAGAAGTTTGGCAGGAGATTTTTGAATTTAGCGGGGCAAAGTCAAACGAATTCCCTTATGTAAAATGCGAACGAAACCGGACAATTGAATTATGGATATAAAATTGCGCTAGACATTGGCCGCTGGTTTTAGTTCCTTGCCCATCTTCAATTTTGTGTTTGCTTGATTGTTTCACCCTTGACTTCCCCCACAGGAAGGGCCATAGTTGGCCTTGGCTTATTCAAGCCAAACGTTATTGAATACAGCATTGAAATCCTAAATTTGTTCCAACTCCCGTGGGCTAGTGTCACATAAACCCAAGCTAAGCGGCATTGGGCATGGGAAGACATTCGGTGCGTCTGCCAAGCGTGAGTGGTAACAGCTCTTTTGCATATTCCATAAACGCAGGTGGAACTCTTCGGAAAAGATTCACCGGAGTACTTAGCTTTGGCCACGTCATGTCCGAGGTGAGTTTCCTCTATTAATTTTAACGAATAGATCGAGAGACATTTACAATTATACAATAATAAGGTAATAATAAGAATAAATAATATAATATTTTAAAAAATACCTTAATAGTGCCTTATCAGCTTGAAAACAAATTTTAAAGATTTAAAAGTGCCGTAAGGATATTTGAACTTGTACAAATGCAAACAGAAAGTTCAAGAGTGCCTAAGAAAAGACCTAGGAAATTCACAACCAAATTTGTGATTAAAAAATATATATATATGTTAACGTAAAATTCAATGTTATATATTTTTAAACAAGCTTTCAGGTTTCATTATTTTAAAATGTAGGGTCTACTGCATTTATTATCTTGAGAGCGCCATCTATCGCTGATAAAGCTTTAAAACTTTACTTTTTACATGTCAAAAGATATGTAATACACCCAGAAGCTATTCGCATATTGCCATCGTTCGTTGGTAGTTCAATTTTCATTACAATTCGTAGAAATCATTTTAAAAGTTTCTTACAATTTCAATTTTCATTTCAATTCTTAGAAAACATTTTAAAAGTTTCTTACCACCTTAACTATGAATGTTCCTTCAGTAGTTGGCAGTGGCATAATCGTACTAACGCCCTCTAAACAGGAATTAAAAACTGTGGTATTTATTCAACTTTAATCACTCTCGGCGGAAGAAATCTCCTGAGCCTCAACCTCCTCCTCGTCGTTCTTTTCCGTCGCTCCGAGGTGCTCCTCATCGCTATCGGAGTTTTCCATGGGTATTGTCTTAAGACGAGCTATCAGCTCTTTGGCGGGATTGAAAATGCCATTGGTTTGCTGGGAGCAGATTATGCAGCGCTGCGATTTTTTGTACTGGGCCAAGGCACACTTTTCACAGAAATAGTGTTTGCATCTAGAATTAAATTATTAGTTAAGGTTATTTATAAAATTAAATGATTTAAAGCTTAAGTCGTCATTAGTAAGGGTGCAAATTCTATAAACTTTTCTAAATACTTACTTTGTTACCACGGGATTGACAAAACTTTGTCGGCAGATGTGGCACTTAAAAGGCAGTGATTCCTCGTCCGAGTGAATCTCGTATTTACCATCATCCCCGTCGGAATCGGCATCTCCCCTTCGCTGATTCTCGTGATCCATTTCAAGCTGCCATCCAGCCTTATAATCACTGCGATCGTGTAGAAACTTGCAGCTGTCTCCGAATCCGCAATACCCCGTTTCCTTGTAATCCTTGCAGATATCCGGCTGGTAATCCCACCTCACAGTGGCTCTCAAATGAGCAGGAGCTCTTATTGGACCACTTCGCACCATCCCCGAACTGGCATTTCCCGCTGCCGTGTCCTGCTTCTTGTAGTACTGCGCATAGTTGTTAATTCCGCGATATATCTTATCATCCGCCTTGCCCTCAAGTTCCTCGTTGATTTTCAGGGCACGTGCATGGATCGCCTGGGCATCGCGGTCTAATTCTGTATCCATTTCATTAATGGACGTGGCTCCCTGGTCCTGTGGCCCACTGGGAAGCGCCTCTCGCTTAGATTTGTATGCAATACCTAGTTTGTCATCATCGGAGGCGGAAGATGTGGCGTCTTCATCGGGTGCTCCCGCCTGGCGCTTTGCTTTGTTTAATGTCTTTGTGCTCTGAAAGTTAGGGTTCGTGCGCTTTCTGCGATTTTCTGCACGCACTAAGGCACTGGCTTTGCCCTTGGCATCCTCATCGCTGCTTTTGGCTGGAAATATTCAATTATTTATCCAAGTTTGCTTTTGGCGGTAAAGTTTGTCCTACCTGATTCGTTGCTGCTGCTGCTTTCCTTTTTGCGACGCATGGCGGCTCCTTTTTTTATGGTACGCTTCTTAAAGCCAAAGGCCGAGGTGCTAGCTGCTTCTTCCGACATTTTCCGGCTTGTGTTGAGCGGAAATTTCCTATTTATTAACGTTAAAAACAACAAGCAATTGCAATTTTGCAAATAAGCAACATCTTCTTCTTTTCTAGTGATGGGAATTTGGCCTATCGTTAATATTTGTAGTATTTTCTTAAGTGTGCGGGCACACTTAAATACTTTGGCGGCTGTATTTAAAATTAAACATGTGAATTAATTTAGGACTTTTCAGCGCACTTTGTATGGTTACACTTTCTGTTATCGCTTATTTTTAGCCACACGTAAATTTTATAAATTATTTGATTTCTTGTATTAAATATTGATTTGTACTATTACTTTACCGCAGAATATGACGCTCGAACAAGTCTCCACCGCCAAGTGCTTTGAGGGCGAGCAGCGTGTGTACCGTCACCGCTCCGGCACTCTGGATTGCGACATGACCTTTGGCGTCTTCCTGCCGCCGGCCGCTCTCGAAAATAAACCATGCCCGGTGCTCTTCTTTCTCAGCGGACTTACCTGCAACCACGAGAACTTCATCCAAAAGAGCGGCTTCCAGCAGCATGCCGCCCGCTACAACCTGATCGTAGTGAATCCGGATACATCGCCCAGGGGTGTGGAAATCGCCGGCCAAGATGATGCCTACGATTTTGGCAGCGGGGCTGGTTTTTATGTGGATGCCAAGCAGGAGCCGTGGTCCAAGCACTATAAGATGTACAGCTACGTGACTCAGGAGCTGGTGGATGTGATCAATGCCAACCTGCCCGTCGTTCCCGGCAGGCGGGGAATCTTCGGCCACAGCATGGGTGGCCATGGAGCTTTGATCTGTTCCCTCAAGAACCCAGGATTGTACCAGTCGGTATCAGCCTTCGCACCGATAGCCAATCCCACGGAATGCCCGTGGGGCCAAAAAGCTTTTGCCGGCTACTTGGGACCCAATTCGGCTGACTGGGCCCAGTGGGATGCCACGCACCTGGTTTCCCAGTACGAGAGCACCCCGCAGGAACTTTTTATTGACCAAGGTGGAGCAGACAACTTCCTCGCTGGCAAGCAACTTCTGCCGGAGAACCTCCTGGCCGCCGCTGCCGGTAACGATCACATTCAGACCATCTTCAAGCAACGCGAGGGGTACGACCACGGCTACTTCTACATCGCCACCTTTATCGCTGAGCATGTTGCCTACCATGCCGCCCTACTCAACGCCCCCGTTTGATGGTCTTCTTCGATATTGGATTCCCTGTTTCCTTCTACGTTTCCATCGGATTGTATTCTGATAAAATCGTTATAATTCGGAAATAAATCAAAGGTATATATATATATATTTATGCTTGATCTTTTTTTAATATTTAAAAAGTTATTCTTAACTTGTAACCTGGTTTCTGTGTAATGAGTCAAGGCTAACAATTTTTCCCATTTTAAGGGAATTCTTTACGAAATTGATAACATGAGCATAAAAGCATTTAGTAGTATTTAAAAGATTAGATTACTAACATGATTTTATGATTTGGGGAACGAACAAGTATATTAAAATTGAAAAGGAAATTGTTTTTTATTAAATCCTGATCTGAAGCTGAAGCTTACTTAGTAATAGGTATAATTTAGTCGACGCATTAAACTGGACTTTATTTTCATGCAAAACTTGGGGTCTGGGTAAAAGCTCGCATCGTAGTAAAAGCTCTCCGGCTGTTGGTCCACGGCATGCTGGTAACTTTCGCATCCTGGCATCCTTCGCTCGATTCATTCATCAGTAGAACCAACGCCGTCTGATGGGACAGATGTCCTAGTGGCCAAAGGGGAACCAACGACTCCAAGCGACATCTCGACTCGTTTGGCGCCAGATTTACTCGGACCAATCGGAGTCGGCTACTCCGTATTTACGTGACTGCGTGTGTACGCGGAATAGTCCTGTTTTTTCGTCCTCGTTTGTTTGTGTGATTTCGCGCGCTTTTGTGTCGCCCGCTGTCCGGACGTCTTATATACCAACGGGTCGGAAAATCGGGCTCCAAAAAAAGGGATTAAAAAAGGCGTGAGATTTGCGGCCGACTGCTGGACGACTGCCAGAGGACTGAAATCTTAATTAGCCATTTAATGGCAGTTGGCAGACAACAAAGGCCGATGGTAAGCCCCCTGCCATATGGCCAATATAAATCAATTAAAGACCGCGCGCAGATCTTGGCAGCCTGTCAGCCACCCAGGTGTGGTATTGGTACCACTTTTCCTTACTTTTATGAGCAACTGTACGACTTGTTTTATGGCCGTCGTTTTACTGCATGCTGGCATTTTTACACTTCCATCAGCACTCCATTTTTCACAGTTCAGAGTCAAGTTCACGCTCCGCATCCCATTTGCCATCCATCAAGTTTTCCGATGCTTCTAAGGGTCCTCGGCTTTAAACTTATTTAAAGTATTTAAGCCTTGTTTTTACTGGAAATCATTTGCATATTATGATTTAGCTATTGAATTTTACGGGTTTATTATCAAATAGAACTTTGGAAACAATTTGGGTCTTTATATAATTGGTATTCAGCTCAATGGAAATTGTTTTTATTACTTTTTAAGGCTAGTATAAGCTGAAAGAAAACATTTTTGCTTTTCTTTGCTTCAAAGCTTCATTTAAACGTACTCAATTTGTTAAATATTTGACTTTTTGGTTTGTTTGAAAAATCACAAACAGACATAAAGTTGATCCTGTACAAAACAGTGAGCTTAGATTGCTTCTATGGCAATTCACAGTCACAGATTATAGATTATCTGTGAAAAGACTTTGCATAAACGAAGTGGATAAGTATTTTAGAACTCTCTTGAAAATATAAAAGCTTCTGCAAGGCTTAAAAAGAATTTTAAAAGGCTCTGGGCAGTGACAAAAAGTTTTTTCTTGACAGGTGAGGAAACAGGGAATACAAAAGAAATTCGTAGAATAACTTCGTCAAACGTAAAATTGTTAAGAAAACAAGTTCAATTTAAACAACACCCATTTGCCGTACTTTAAGTCTCTATAAACACTATCAATACAGGTAAAATCTTTATTAAGATACATCGACTCAATTTTTGAGGGTGGCAAATTTAATTTTTCCTAGAAAAATACAGCAGGGAATTCTCATTTAAAACTGAAAACCGATATAAAACAAATTAAAAACATGCATCAATAAATAAAATCGAACATCCACGCCTTTAAAATAATAGCCAAAACAAATTCTCTCGCAAACTGGGTTTTCTCCTTTCTGTGACATTAATTTTAGACTGGGTCAAAATTCGTCGACATGATGTCATATTCAAACTTTCCAGTGAAAAGCAGTTTTGTTTTTGGATCAAACATTTTAAATTCTTTAACACGTTGATTTGACAACGTTTCTGAGTGACAGCTTAATTATTAAACACGAAAAACGCTTTAAAATGTATTGCATACCTGAGCAGCTTTTACGTGGATAACATTCAACAAAAATACGCAAATGTTTATCGCCAATTGTTTTATCAAGATGTACTCTGAAATTAATGCGACCATTACAAGCAGATTTATCTTCTTAGCTGTATTAAAACTAAGTCGTTTATAACAGAAACGCTTTTTAAATTATGCATAAAGCGGTAGTAAAAAATGAGTTCTCACTCTGGGCTCCTCTTAAAAATTTGCATTAAAAAAGAATCATTTTCATTTTACTGGTCACTAAAATAAAAACTTTTTCAAACTTCCTTATTGTGCTGCCATTAAACCGCCTTAAACTATTAAACGTTTTCTTTAAATCGTTTATGAGCACCCCCACGTAAAAATTTCTGCCATATTAAATGCAACCGACTTGTGCAATCTTACCATTTATATAGTCCTTCTCGGCAGTTGCTTAAGGCACTCAAACCATCTATTGCGTTTCAATATTTCAAGGAAAGCCCCTTAAAAGCCGGATAAGACATTGAAAGCGTCGATTTCCTTTAACCGCCATGCAATTCGAAATGGGGAGGCAAAACAAGTCAAGCAAGGAAGTTTGGTTAAAGCATGGTTGGCCTCAAGTTTGTGGCCCACACATGTGCAATTAATAAACATCTTGGTCGGAAAGTTTTCCCCAGTCTAATTACAGGTTAAGCTTGTTCGAACATCTTAGCAAATCCCAGGTGGATCAAAATATTGTGTACTGAGGTGGCCAAATGCGATAGGTAAATAAAAGTGTTTACCTCTGCAGTTGAGGGGGAAAACTGATTTGTTTGGGAAGACGCTACAAGGGAAAATTCCAATAAAGTAAGCGGAAAATCAATAAAAGCCAATTTAAGAAAAGTGAAAAGGAGAACGTTGTCATTTATTTGCGAGTCTCTTAGTTCAGCAATTGCGATTTTTCTACTTGAAGATTAATATCCGTTTTTTTTTTTGTCAATCTTGACGGAAAACTTTTTCCTCTGAAGTCTACGAACTTATGTTTGGAATCGAACTGAAATTCGTAATTAAATTAAACTTAAATTGATTTGAATTGATTGAATTTCACGAAGATAATTATTTTTTTCCTGAGCCAGAGTAAGCTGTAGAGAATTTGAATCTGTTTATTGTGCTCTTCTTACAAAATAGCAGTATAAACAGAAGCTATTTTAAAATAAAGCATCCATTAGCACATCAATTAACTCTATGTACATATTGTACCTGGAACACATCACACATAGTGAGTGCTGGGGTGGACCGCAGTTTATCACGCATACGCAGTGTTGACATATTTTATTAAATACTTTTTTCCACTCTAATAAAATGGTTATTTTGCTGAATAGCGTGAATACTGAATGCATATGAGTTACGGTCTTCATTTAAAAGTTAATCAGCTTTATTAACTAATGTTATTAATTCTGCTGTTTTGCTAATTAAAGTTGGTCAATGTATTTTTAATTTTCTGATACAAAGAATTTACAAACTATTATCAATCCACAATCCAATAATGTTTTAATTATTTAACTTTACTCAAATGTTTAAGACGACCACAATGCCTTAAAGCTAGACTTTATAATTTTGTAAATGTTTCAATACGTTCATCCCAACGCCCCTTCACTCAAGGCAAATATGTAGTCAAGTTCTTCAAATGAGAGGGGGTAAATGGAAGGATCGAATCGGTTTTTCATTGAAAGTAGTCGGGTGTGTGGACAACTCTGACCTGACTGACAATTAGGCCAATCATGAGGAATCACTTGCCACGACAAACGCCTGGGCCACGTGCATACGTACAAATTGATGTATTGTTTTCGGGACGCCGAGAGCCCCATCAGAAGCCATCAGGGAGTTCTCCGGGAAGTGGATCCATGGACAGGCTCTCGGTGCAGGGACGCAAATTCAACGGAAAATGTACGCCATCCAAATAATTTAGACAATGGCACTCGTGCGCACACGCCATGCCCAGGAAACAGGATGTGGCATACGCCACACTCACACACGCACACTCCATGTTGTATGTCACCACACACACTCACACAAAGAGCGCCATAAACACACACCAGTGAGGACACACAGAAACAGACAAAGCCTGACAAAATACAGAGAAACAGAGGCGACGATTTTAGTACTATTTTCGGTCATCACTTGGCTTTATGGGAGGTCAGATCCAAAAACGGAACCTATTGGGACCCGCCATGGAACCCGTCATTCTGGACAGCCTCTGGGTTCCCAGCTGCCTCTTCCTATCTCTCCACCAATTCCCTTTATCGCAGTCCCATTATTTCTTTTGCGCTGGTGTGTATCTGCTGTCCAACATATGTTCTCACTTAGACTGCGGTCGTATTCCTTGGCTTTTGTCTCAAAAGCTGCAACTACACTTAAGTAAAATGCGGCATTAAACAAAAATAGCTAAGAGAGACAAAAATGCGTTTACTAAAATTAATTTACAGTAAAATTTGAAAAAAAAAATAATTTAAGTTTTAATTTTAAAAAACTTTTGTAAATAATATTATATTGAGATGTTTCTACATATTTATTTCCCTTAAAATTAAATTATAGTTAAATATATATTAGCTATATTTTTGTTGACTTCTTTAATTTTTGTCTTGATTCTCTCTTATTTTTATAAAGGCTATTGGCACTTGAGACATTCAATTTTAAAAAAAGTGCTTTTAAAAAGCTAGCACTATGAAAACAAATAAAAGTTGACAACGCAAAATGCAATAAATGTCTTTTTTAAAAGACTCAGATTATCTTGCTTTCAAAGCGATTTGTTTCTTAGTGTGAGACAACATGGCAGAGGAAAATACAAAACACACAAACAGCAGAGCGGAAAACTTCTATTATTATTTGTTTGCCACCTTTTTAAAAGAAGGACCTGGATCTGTTGTTGGGGGCGAAAGAGGAATTGCTCTTTCAACGTGTAATTGAGTTTGCACCGAGTACGTGCAAGAAATTTTGAACACAGTCCCGGTGAAAACTTTGGCTTATAATCGAATTTAATGCCCACGAAAAAAAATGACAAAGGATGCATATTTTAATTTGAATAAATTTACGAATGGAACATATTGTTGTGCGTAGAAGTAGATAAATTGCGTTAGGCCCGAGAAATTGGGCAACAAAAAGTTAGCCATACACAAAAGTTCATCTCGATTGGCAGGAATCTAATAGCTGGAACACAGATTAGCTGGCCAAGAAGTTAGTCCGCGTCAAACTTTTCCAGCTATTTAGCCAGACAGCAAAACTTTCCTTGATTGATGATGCTCTACGGGACAAGTTGCTGCTGGAAAACTGTTCGTTATCAGATGGGGTTGAACTGAATTAATTTTCATTTTACGAAATTAATAGAAAATCGCTTTTATCTCATTTAAATATCTTAGCGCCTGTTGAAATCCGCCCGATAAATATGCAAATAACGAACTGGTAATTGGTCGCGGTAGACTTTAAATTGAGATTTATTTGTTTGTGATTGAGGTTGGAAAACCTTTTTAATTATTAAATTTGTGGATTCAGTAAATGCCACGTGACGGTTTTATGTAAAATAATACTTTGATGTTGAATTTGCTTATATTGAAACTTTGTCACTTTATTTTTGGTCCCATCACGCACAAAACTTGTCCTTTGGCTCGACAACCTTTTAACAACCTTACGAACTATCCGATAACACAGCTCTGCCACTTGATTTCAGCAGCTTCAGTTAAGTTTTAATTAAGTTAAAGCCACACCTTACATATCCGACAAAGGAAAACCAATTTGCGCTAAGCTCACATTTGAGCTCGGAGTTTATCGTCGGCAAATTGCAATGTGCCCACTTGCCATGGCAAATCGCAGAGCTCATTTGGCCCAATTCGCTCCGTTGTAGTAGACCCATCAAAAAGCTCTGAGCAGAGTAAATGGAGCAGACTAACTAGAGAAACGCATCAGGCATAAACCGCACTGCCTTCACCTTTGGATCCCCTGTGATCCTTATGCATGCAATTTCCAAATTGCTTTCTCTAAGCTGGAAAACAATTTATGTGTGTAAATTGGCCCCGCCCACCAGCACACAATCAGGCGCACTCACGCCCATTCACCTCTGGCTGCAAAGCGTCTTACACTAATTACACAAATTGAACACAATTTATTGTTGCCATGGAAGTAAAACTCGATGGTTCCTCCTGCTGTTGCTCCTGGCGACACGCTCCAAGTGGCAGCAATTTGGTTAATATTAAATAAGTACTTGCATATTAATTATATGCATAATTACACGACCAGACGAGGCGGGCTCTCCTGTTTGGTGTTTGCTGTAATTAAAACACGCTGACATTGCGTATACGTAACGTGACTAGCGGCTAAGTAGGGTGTTCCCAGAAGTGAAACCCATTTAAGCCGAACAAAGGAAAACAGATTTAATTTGCATGTTGGAATGGCTTTATATCTGGTTTTAATCAGGAATTATATTTTTCTATGTTGGGGAAAGATGTCCATTAAGAGTCACGTATACGTAATGTTGGCTGAGCTCGGCTAACGATTTAAAAATCATTCTTTTGTTTAAATATCAACTCAATAACCCTATTCTAAGCAATACAGAAATGTATTAAAATGTCTTTGTCTAACAAATCTTTCTATATACCTACACATTGCTGTAGATACAAACTTAAGCAAATAATAAATCTCGGTTTATTTTCTCTTTCTTGCCATATTTACTCTTTTAGTTTTTCGCAAAACCCAGAACACTAAATGACTTATTTCCATATCCGGTTTCACTATGCCGTCGGCATTCGTTTTGCCTCTTTGTGTTTGCGATTTCTGATTTCTGTTTCGTACCCAAGTTCATTATGCTTTTGACAGAGTCATTAACAATTTGTTGGTCTAGATTTACTCAGATTTTATTTGCATTCCTTTCCGCTTTTCTCGGCCAGTTGTTTTTCCGGAAGCATCGGGAGCAGAAGCAGCAGCAGCCGCAGGAGGAACTGTAGCACGGCCAAAAGCCGATCAGCGGGCCATTCAGCTTTGAGTGTTTTATGGTCCCGGAGTGGCAGCTACAGAGCTCTAACAACTAACTACTAACAAGAACAACACACCGGCTTAAGGCAGCAGGAAGTATCAACACGAGCGAAGGAAACAAACCAATCTATAAAGATGGCCGGCGGGGGCAGGACAGCCGGCAAATACGGTTATTCGGACAACAATTATTACAGTGGTGAGTAGATAAGGATAATGCGGACAGTGATGAAGAAATCCGGAGAAGACTTAGCCATGCATAAGAGATTTATGACTGATATATTTTTAAACAGTATATACTGTAATGCTGTGAAGCATTTTGCTTGCTGAAATATTGGACTTACTTGCGTTCTTTTTGTTGATGTTTTTATTATCGATGCCGCAAAAAAAATAATAACATTCAAAGATTTTAAATGATGTATAAATGAATTCAAATGCTTGGAATCTTATTAAATATTTTTTTTATATTTATAAAACATTTTCTAGTTAAAGGTTTACGTGAAAGAATATTTTTATTAATATTTGAAATTCCTAAAATAAGTTCAAACGTACATTTTTATCATGAATATTAAATTTAACTTATTTACTAACCCACCAATGAACCTGAACAACCCCTCATAAATATATTTTGTGGAACAGCTTTTAATGATGTATAATAATTGCACTGAAAGCTTTTATTCATATCTGTTTATAAATAATTCAATTCGCCCATTTACCTTTCTGCACGGCAGACTGAGCACCGAAACAGGCTGAAGAAAATGTCTAAATAAAACAAATTATGTTTATTGAAATCTGTCATTATTATTGGTATATGAATAAATGACGAGCCCCATTGTTATTTCGAACCCTAACCACTGTATGGCATTTCCTTCGAGGATATTAGGGGGGTGGAAGGATGGATGGGTGGATGGATGGGTGGGTGGTTCGTTGTCCGCTCTGTCGCCCATTTGGCGGGCTTATGTTGGCCCCCCGATGGCGTCTTCCTGACGTCCTGCTGATGAAGTCCTGCCGCATGCCCCACCGTAATCAGTGTTGAAAAGCGTGTTTTTATTCGTGTCTTGATTACGTATGTATATTCTGCTTGTCAGGGTTTTTATTACATTTATTTCTCTGCCTTCATATACTCGTGCACATGAGTACTCGCATCGGAATTTTCCTGCCTTGTACGTTATTTGTTTATGCGTACGTCGGCTGGGGATTTGCGCGCTATAAATGGGTCCTTAGATACTCGGCATATCATTCACGCATGAAAGCGATATAATTCAGTTCTTTGGAGTAATGATGTTTGGCTTGATTTTATACCGACTTACCGCCGCGAATGTGAATGAGTTCAGGTGAAGGAGCAGCCAAATGATTTCTTGCTGTGTTTGCATGAAGTTTTTGTTTTCTCTTGGCCAAAAATGTCTGCAAACTCAGTTTGAACGCCCAAAAACGGCCACCCGCAGTCAAGATTTCCTCCCAACCCAAGTCCCTATTTATCCATTGAGAGGACTTTCGTACTTTTATAAAGTTTTTCGTAGTTTTTATTGCCACAAATTGTGCGTAATGTATTTATTGGTCATCAAACAAAGACAAAAATAAGCCGACGTAAAAGAGGAGGACCACCTAGAACTGAGACTAAGTTAGTAAGAGACAATTAAGAATATTTAAGATGAAAATTGTTCTTACTTTTTGCATTCTCACCAACAAAATTATTGCCAAAACAAAAATGCCGTTCTGTGTACTTAAAAGGTATTTTGATTTGACAGAAATTTTGTTGGAGATTCCGAAAATTGGTAAACACCTTGATTTTTTGAGCCCATTGGCGTGAAAATGATTTTGCAATTGATTGTTGCTTATCTGTGAATTTTTTCAGTATGACATTAATATTTTAAGCCTTTATGATGTATGTGCAACTGGTCGAATGCATTCGAATGGTTGATTCTAACCTTTTACGACTTATCCGAAATTTTACCTTATAAAATATATTTCTATAGTTGTTCCCTTTTACGGCTTTGGTTTTTATCTATGGGTTTGCTATTCTGCCCATGACGGAAATTCCTTAGAACTCGGGAAAATCAGCATACTCCACACGGTTCCGGTAATTAGCAAGCACCAGAAGGACCAAAATGTTGGCAGAATTCCAGCGACGGCCATGTACTTAGTTTTCAAACCCGAATAGCCGGAAATGATGGCATTAGGCGGAGTGCTCACTGGCAAATGGAAAGCCAAGCTGCAGGCCAGGGCAGAAGGAAAGGACAATGTGATGGGATGTACCTTGATAGCCAGGGCCTACCGACGAAGTAATTTACAAACACAATTATTAGAAATCAGTAATTAAGATAAAGCATTATGAGCGACTTACCATTTCAAAGAAGATCGGGATCAAAATGTTACAGATAGCCACATTGGAAGCGAAAGCGGTGCAGAATAGGGAAATTACGATGCACATGGCCACCACCAGGACATAGTGCATATTCCCGGCGAAGGCCAAGGACTCTCCCAGCATTTTGGCCATTCCGCTCACACGGCTGCCTTCAGCCAAAGCAAATCCTCCACCTTTCAAAATACAATTGTTAAGTATTTGCTATTTCGAGTAATGTAATAATTTAAATTATGTTGTTATATAATATGTGTGCAATCTTTATTCAGATAGCTCCAAAGACACCGCAGAATTTTATAACTCATTAAATTAATCAATTTAATTCGAAAGGAAGATATATATATCATACTTATGAAATAGAATAGAGATATTCCCATTACTTTTTTTGTGTTCATAGAAAGTAGGCAATAATAAAAATTAAACTCAGTTTACTGCATCGAATTAGAACAACCAAATTTTATATCCTTTTCTTATACTTGGAGTGTGGCTTACTTCTTGTGTTTTCTAAATGCCCAAACCTTATGAGAGTTACATACCTAGCAGAAAGCACAGTCCGAAGGGCGTATACTTATGGCAGTAGACCCAGGAGAGGCAGGCATCCAGCGATTGCCCTGGGAACGGAGCCTTTCCGCAGCAGTACTTGAAGAAGGTGTACTGAGTGGGGAGGGCGAAGAGCAGCAAGACCGAGAAAAATACCGGCGGTCCACTGCCTATTTTTCTAATAGAGATAGCATAAAGCAATTAGTTGTTTCATTAAATAACAATATTTCAATAGAAACTCACTGTGCATTCAAAAAGTCAGCCCAGCCGTCAAAGAAACCCGGCTTGCGCGTGAAGAGAAGGAAAATCATTAGGATGAATAGCAAGGCCACTTGGATCTCGTGGCAACTCATTGGTCCTAGTTCCTGCTTGCGCTGCTTGATCACCGTCTTAACCACATCCTGGCTTTCCGTACCCTTTTTTACCTCCTGGCCAATCTTGCTGTTTGGCCGGAAGAGACCCATGTGGGTAATTTGCAAAGAGAAGAAGGTGAGGGTGATGAGCACGACGACCACAAATGGAATGGAGTACGCCATGAAGACGGGAAAGTCAATCTTCTCCACGGAGTCGGGAAATCGCCTGCGGGGAAACTAGTTGGTACCAAATCAACGGGCATTCCCAACCAATCCTTACGTGTCGTATAGGCCCTTGTACGTCAGGTTGGTTCCAGTTCCAATCAGGGTACCACATCCGCCAATTGACGAAGCGTACGCAATGCCAAAATAGAAAGCCATCGATATGGAAGACGGGTGCGGAGGACTGAAAGAAATCGGGATTGAGTGTAACTAAGGCGCAGTCTGTGGAAATTTATTACATACTCGCCCTCTTCCATGGGCTCCTCTTCCTGCGTCTTATAAATGGCAAAAATTTTTTGCTAAAAAAAAAACGAAAGAATAACAACAAAATATCAGGTTTTACCTTATTTTAAAGATGAAGCGGTTAGGTTTAGTTTATAGATTATAAAAATACTAAATATGTAGAATCAATTATTTGAAATGGTTAATGCATTCCTGCATAATGCACTATTTATATGGAACAAACAAAATGAGCTATCGAGTTCATCCTAAATTATACCAAACAAAGATCCTTACCGCATCCATTTCATTGAGCACGGCCTTGACAATGGGACACATCATGGCGGTGGCTGCCGAGTTCGAAATCCAGAGCGATATGAAGCAGGTCACCATGACCAGGCCGAAGTGTAAACTGTGGACGGGACCAAACACAAGTTCTAATTTTAATAATTTCTACCTTAAAGTAAGACTTACCGCCTGGGGCTACAACCTACTATTAGGATGGTGGTGAGAGCGATACGCTGGTGAAGATTGCTATATTCGATGGCCAGAGCGATTAGCAAGCCCCCCAGAAACATTACCACGGTGTCGCTGAAGTAAAAACTGCACACCTTATCCGATGGCTTTTTAAAGAAAAAAACGAATTAATATATAAAAAAACATTTGATAAAGCAGCAAGCTTTAATCTTATTCTATCATGTCAACATTTTGATCATCATTTTGTAAGCTTGTCTATTATTCTACCAACATATATTTCGACTATGGTTGCCAGGTATTTTTGAAGATTTAATAGTATGTATCACAAAATACTTTATTTTTATCTTTAAAAGCAAGGTTTTTTTGTACATTTTATGCAAAACGTTTTATGTTAGAAATTTGTAAACTTTAGAAAGATTTCTTAACGAACAACCAAGTAATGACGATGATAAACTTCTTAGAATATTTAATAAATTTAATTTTTTTTAATTTAGATGAAAATACCTATAGGTGTACAGAACAAAGTTTTCAATTTTGAACTAAGAACAAGCGAGTTGATTCGCTTTTTTGAAGAACTTCCCATTCGATTTGAAAGTTACTCCCCTTACTTTTTAAGCTTACTTACCAAAATGCTGAATAAAGGCAGAAACACCACCGGAAACAGGGCGGTCAAGTAGAGGGGAATGGCCTCGGTGATCCAGAAGAGCGCCATGTTGGCCACCAGGTACATGCACACCCATGCCTGCGGAATGAGGAATGCAATTATCCACTATGGGACGAGACCGCAATACTCACTTTGTTATCCTCCATTATGCCATAAAGAAACAGTGGTAATGTGATGAGGGGGTATAACGAGGGTCGCTTTGCCCCTCCAATGGAAACCGCAACATCTCTTTATTGCCGTTCCACCTCCGAGTTTATCGTCACTGCAAGACAAGATCTAAGGTCACCTGGTCATTTTAAATCGATTTCGGAAATCTTACTCGGCCATTTTTTGTTTAACCGCAACAACTTGGGAAAGGAATCTTTTGTGCTAAGCAAAACACTTTTCTAATGACTCACTCATCAACTGGTAAAATGAAAGTGACAGAAATTTCAAATTTGAATCCAAATGTATTTTTGTTTAATTTCACATAAGTAGCAAAGGCTTCTCTAAAAAAGTATTCAAGAAATTCCGTGAACCAAAGTTAAACAAAGGAATCGATTCGCGATCAGATATTGCTCTCGTTCTTAATTTGCTTAGCCCAATCCGGAAAGGAACTGGTTTCCGGATAGATTACCATTCCCCACGTATTCGTGTTTATGATTATCATAAAGTATCCAATAATGGTGGGCATTATACCGATGCAGGCCTGTAAATGTCATTTTTAAACTGGATTATCTACATAGTTATGTTTCTCTTACAAAGTATTTCGTCTTGATGTGGGCGTAATTGCAAACAATTGCATTTGGTGGTGTGCTAACTGGTAGAAAAAAGCACAAGCTACAGGCTAAACATGCTGGCAAAGTCAAAATCAAGGGATGCATTTCCAGGACAAGGGCCTGTAAATAAAAAAAATCGATGAAGCGTATAGTTTTGTTTATCAAATGCTCAGATCGTCTGCCATTTTACTCTTCGTAAATAGTCATTTTCTTCGGTCTAACATATGCCCTTAAAATTTATTTAGAACTTACCATTTCGCATAAAATCGGTATAACAATGTTGGCCACGACAACGTTAGAGTTAAAAGTGGAGAAGAACATTGTCATTGCGACCGTAATCATCTGTACTGAAATGTGTGGCATTCCTACTAGGACTTGCATGGCCCTGGCAACCATTATGGTAACACCAGTTCTTTTGCTGGCTTCCGCTAAGGCGAATCCACCCCCTGTTATAAGGAATGGGAAATAGAGTACAAAGACTGGACTTGGAAGTTGGGAAAACATACCCAACAGAAACAAGAGACCCCAGGATACGTTATTATGAACATATCGCCAAGAAAGAAGCGCATCTATTGCTTGGCCGGAAAAGGGAGCTACAAGGTAAGGTAAGGCAAGGTTATAGGTCAACCGATCTGCTCAAAAATATGGCGTACTTACGATTGCCACAACAGTATTTAAAGAAGACATATTGCGTGGGCAATGCAAAGGCGAGTAGAACAATAACAAACAGTCCACAAGAGCTTCCTACGGGCCTTATAAGGATACAAAAACTTCTTATTAGCAATTTGGTAAATTTGATAAGTTCATGACAAATAAATTGCAATGTATTACCTTTTGCTAACTTTGTTTTTGTATCAGTGTATTAATCATTTACTTTGGTAATATTTCTTTAAACAATTACTCACTGCGCGTTCAAAAAGTCGGCCCAACCTGGAAAAAATCCTGGTTTGCGGGTAATGAGGATAGCAATCATTAGACCGAACAGAATGGAAACTTGGATCTCGTGGCAGGACATTGGACCTAACTCAATATAATGCTGTCGCAAAACGTCTTCCAACAATTTTCGGTTCTGGTTGGCTTCCGCGATCAATTTGCCCACTTTGCTTTTCGGCCGAAACAAACCCATGTGGCTGATCAGCACAGCTATAATGACGAGCGCTATGTAACCGATTACCATCAGGGGGATCGTGTAGAACATGAAGTTGGTAAATGAAACCTCCTCCACTGAAGTGGGAAATCTCCTGCGGAAAATGACAGCTGTGTTTCTAAATCCCGAGAATACCCTAAACGACTGTCTTACTGATCGTAAATTCCCTTAAAGACCAGGTTCGTTCCAGTGCCTATCAAGGTTCCCAGCCCTCCAATTGTTGCGGAGTAGGCCACGCCAATGTACATGGCCATCGTTATCTTGGACGGATGGGGTGGTCTATAGTTGGAATGGTTATAGATAAAACCCAATTCATAGCGTTTACTTACTCGCCCTCCTCCACTGGCTCTTCCTCTTGGGTCATATACACGGGAAATATGTTGTTCTAAAAGTAGATTGGACAGTTGGCCAAATATCAAAACCAATTTACTTACGGCTTCAAGTTCATTGACCACCGCCTTGACTATGGGACACATCATTGCCGTGCCAGCTGAGTTCGATATCCACAGTCCCATGAAAACGCTCACACCCACCAATCCCACATATAAGCTGTGCCACACGAACATTTTATAGATTTCATTAATGCATGAAATCAAGAAAAATAATTTTCACGCGAAGTTCTTACCGCCTTGGACTTCCACCAATTATCCGGATAACTCTCAGTGCAATCCTTGTGTGAAGATTGCAATACTCAATGGCCAAGGCAACCATAAGTCCACCCATGAACATGACAATGGTGTCGGAAAAGTACAGTTTACACAATTCATCGGAAGGCTAAAAAACAATTGGTGATTCCAATAACTTAACGTTTATAATCGATTTTACCAATATTTTTAAATCAAAACATGGAAGGCTAGGAATTCATTTAAGTTTGGACGATTCCTTAGCTTTCGCCTAAATCGTTACTTACCACAATAGAAAACATTGGGCAAAACACAATGGGAATCAATGCAGTTATGTAAATAGGCAAAGCTTCGGTTATCCACAGAAGGGCCATGGTGGCTATAAGATACAGACACTTGAACTCCTGATACATCCGCTCGATTTATTAAATGATACTTCCGTTGATACAATATGCACTTACAGCCCTGTCGTTCTTTAAACCATAAGCCAAGAGCGGCAGCGTCAATATGGGTATAACTGCGGTGAGTTTTCCCTTCCAGTGGTACTTGCAACAGCGGAGGAGTCCAAACTCCCTGGGTCTAAAAACAAGGCAGTGTGAGAATGGTGGTTGCACTGGCGACTTTTCTCTTTACTCTGGTTCTGCCATATCGCCGGTCGAAATGAAACACCAATTGGTTTGTTAATTCGGCTTAAAACGTGTTTAGTATTTGTAGTGTGTGTAGATCTTAGGAGCAGTGTACACTAAGTTATTTAACCATTTTCAACGAAAGCTATTTTGCTTTTGATTGCCATTGTGCGCCATCTTGCTTTATTGTCGGCGGCAATACCCTTCATGTTGGAAAGAAAATTTAATCCCGATTCACTTTGAAGTCATCTAATTGATTATTTTCCCCCAACCTACCACTTCTCTTCAATCGGAGGAAGTCTAATTGAAATTAAAGAAAGCTTTCTAGTTAAATTAACATTGTTTCATCCAAAGAAAGCTTCAATTAGCATATGTACTATACAAAAAATATCACTGAAATAATTTTAAAAACTTTTCAAAATACTTTTATATGTTATATTTTATTTTAATATTTAATAAAAATTAAATTTCATTACAAGTACAAGTGAAAATATAATTTTTAAAAATGTATCAGTTTAAATCCCTGCTGATTGATATTTTAGTTTATTTGATTTTTGGGTTTTGTCATACAATTTCTACTTCAAGGATGCCTTGTCGGAGTGCTCGAGAAGTTCTTCTTCAATCTGGTCCTAATGAAATTCCTTAATGTTGGGCAAATCTTTGTGGCCACAAAGCATCTCGAAAGATGTCAGACACAGGACACACAGGACGCAAACACACGCACGTACACACACACACAAACAAACTTCTCACAGGATATTACATAACGCCGGTTGAGTGTGAGACCCTTATTTTCATGCCTTCCCACAATGCTTTTATATTTTTTGTATTCTGTCTATTCACATAATCTGTCAAATGACTTTATTGACTGTATTTTCGGTCGGGAAGAGAACAATAAATGAAATTTAATACATATCGGCCGGCAGGACATGTGTCCTTGGTTGGAGCCAAGAAAACGGTTGGGCTCATCCGCTCGTAAACCTTAATAATTTACGCTCAGTTTAGCCCGGTTTTGGCCCAAGGGCTCCGACGGTTTCCATTACGGATTTCAATTTGCCGCAGAGGCGTTCGTCTCCTGCAATCGCTTTGCATATTTCACGCAACCATAACTTACATTTTGACAGCCCGAACTTTTCCAGGCGGCTCGGATAGGCATTTCTATGAATTATTGTTTGATGTGCCAAACTTTTGTTGCGCTTTTAATGCTTCAAGCAACCGCAAATTCGTGGTCCCGAAATAAATCTTATAAATGTCTGAACAAACACCAAGAGTACAGAGCAAATGCCACAAAACTTTGACCGCACTTGAATGCCATTGAAAAGTTCTGCAGAATTGCCAAAGTGGCTAATGATACAATTGTCGGTTCAAAGTTCTTCCTAATTGGTACATTATAGCACTGAAACTCTTGTGGGATCCCATTAAACTTGACCATGCGGTCACATTTCAAAATCACAAGAGCCTGTTTTTCCAAGGCTTTCAATTATTTCCTTCTTAAAGAAATTGGACACCAATTAGTGTACCCTGTCTTGTGTTCTGTACGTTTAAACTAGTATGACGTGGGAAAACATCAGCAGTTTGCTTTTAAATCAGTTCTTTTGTGGTTTAAACAAACAACAGCTTTAGTGGAAGTTGAAAGCATTGAATCAGGAAATTTAGTTTTTTTTTAATCCCGCCTCGGTCATTTGTCGACAAGGCTTTAATGCAAAACTAATTTTCACTTTCAGTTGACGATAAATACATAGGTGCGAAACAGATTGTATGCTCTTCTCAGATGTTATTTAAATTTTATAAACATATGTATTATCGTGATCAAAGATACTTTTTTAATGTAAACCTGCATTTTTTATTTAAAATAATAAGATCAATCAAAGTAAACAAAGTAATAAAATATTGAAATATTAAATATAGAAGAAATATAGAACAACGAAATAACATTTAGTAGTATCTCTTTAGCAATTTTTCTATTAGCATACGTTTTAAGTTGAATTTTGTATTTAGGAAACAGAAGTATATTTTATTCGCATGTTTGGGGAATGGGAACTTTCCATAAATCGTATTTATCTCCTAACATTTCGCCGAAAATTATCTGCATCCATTTGAATTTTATGGGCTGCACAGCAGGTGAGCATTTTTGGCCAGGGAAGCAATCAAAATGATTGCCTATTTATCCGGGCCGAGTGACCATGAACTGTGGGCCATGGAGAACACTCAACGCCTCGATGCCGACAATCAGGCACATTAACCGCAAAAACACTCGTATGCCTGGCCATGCATATATACTTTGTATATTGTATAGAACGGGAGATTTATGGTGAACCATTGCTTTGGGCCATGGCCCATTGGGCCCAAAGCCGTCGTAACACGAGCCTTCTAATTAACAAATCTGTGGTGGCGTCGCTCTGGCTGCCTGTAAACAGGATTTTAATTTGTTTGATGTGTGTCGAGTGCTAACGGCGAGCGAATGCTCGGCATCGATTATGTGTTAAATTACCCATAAAGCAAACATCTGGCCCAAATGGACCCGAACAATGAGAGCCTATTTGCAACGAGTCGGAAAAGTGTAAATGGCTTTGGTTTCGCCAAATTAAAATTCTACCAACTACGCTTTAATTTTAAGAATTCATTTAAAAACTGCCAGCGGCTTTTTCGCAAATAATTTAATTCAATCCTCTAAAAGTTTTTCGCATTGCAATCCATTGAGCCGCAACTCAACTTTTTAAACTAATTAGGGAAATCCGTTTAATTTGTTGAAATGCAAATTGGTATTATTCATTTTTAAATTTTAATTACTTTTTGTAGATTTAATTACCTATTTTGTATTTTTGTGTTTATAAAACTAATTTGTTAGGAAGAAACAATGAGATTGTTTGAGACTTAAAATTTAATTTTCACAGTGATTATATGCATATGAAAACTTTATTAGTTGGCTGAATAAGAATATTTTTAAATCTACGGTCTGCAATTTGATAAGTAAATAAGGGTATGCAAACATGAATTCAGAATTTTAAAGTAAACACAATATTATTTTCAATTTTTTATATATTATATTAACCTTATATGTTCGCTGAAATGTAAATCAGGATTAAAAATTTAATCCCAGACAATCGAATTTCTCAATTTATTTGTGTCGATAATTGCGTTAATAATCCATATGTAGCACGATCGTAAAATATTGAAACAGCTGCCGTTACAAAAAAGGGAGTTGCAAATCCAATTTTCATATTATTTTTGTTTATTGCGAGTTTTTATGTCTCCTTTGTGTGTGGTTGTGTGTGGTTGTGTGCGTGGGTTGCCATCCAGATTGCTTCTGGCATATGGCCGTCGTTTAATCTTTATAACAATGCATTTGTCATGGTCGAGGATAATTTTTTTGTGTTTCGTATTGTTTGAATATGCATGGAGCTCTTAAACCCGAAATGTTGATTGGCAAACGGCAGCGGGGAGCCCACAACCCACCGAGTCCCCTTTTTTCCACCCATTCTCCGCCCACCTGACATGAATAATTGTTTGTAATTTGTCAGCGAGGCCTCTAAATCGTGTTTCTTTCGCTTTTTGCAGGTCACTCGTACAAGAGCATCAACGACGAGATTATACTGGTCAGCATCATAATGGGGATTACCATACTGGTCCTCATCACCATCGCCCTGTGCTACATTGCGTATGAGAAATGCCAGAAGAAGCGGGAGTATTACATTAACGCCTAAAGAAAGATGAGGCTTCCTTTTTCTTTGTCCTGTGTTTGCATTCTTTTGCATCGGTGGCACAGCAAGGCTAAATGTCAACACGGTCTGCTACAATGTTGACGTTGACGATTTAGTTGGCCAACAAAAATAGCCCAGAGTGGCTGCAACCACCATTGTTTTTTTCCGCACACAAACCCAAACCCAAACCCCGGCAGACACGTACTATACACAAATCGGAAAGCGGAGGAATTTGTGCTGTTTAAACGTCCGCATTCTCTGTTGGTTTTGCCACAGTTGCAGTTTCTCAAGTGGCAGGGAGCATGGCTCTATTGTTTGCCCACTGTGCACAGTGGGTTCCTCTCGGCCACTTGACATTTGTCCAGCCAATTAGGCGTTCGCCATTTCGTAAACGGTTGTTTTAAGACCGCGTTAGACAAAATATAATCAGCACAAGGAATTGCTTTGCGCTTGAATAGCACTCCTTAAATTTGGCACTATGTATGTCTGACTGCCAGACAAAGAGGGTCTCAAGACTTTCATAAACTCGTGTTTTTATGCCGCGCCCGGGTATTTCAATTTAAAATGCAATTCACTCGCATTCCACCATGCAGCAACCTTTTGTTTGTCAAACCGAGGAGGAATAATAAAAAAGAGCCAACCGAAACCCCATACCACTGCATAATGGCGGCGAACGAAAAATAAGCGATACTTTTGCAAGTGCGCTGTGTCGATATTGTTGCCCCAAAGCATTGGGAACATTGTGCATACGCACGGGGAAAATGTGGCAAGCTATAGCAAAAAGCATTGGTTATAAAGCATATTTCTATTAAAAAACGAAGAATCTAATTTTCGATTTAATTTATCTTTTTTTTACAAATTGTTTTACTTACATATAACATATCTCATAAAACCGTTTTAAAACTTGTTTTGCTTGCATATTCAAGAATGGAATGAATTGATATTCATTTTTTAAAAAACATTTTCAAACGATAAAGGTTTTTTAAGAATTTCAGTATTACTAAATCAAAAAAGTTCTTTTTGGTTCTCATAGCGCTTAAATTGTATTTCACCTTCTGCTTAAATATTTTCTGTGTGTATTTCCACACACATTCCAATTTCGAATATTGACAGCGCGGGAGCATTTAACCAACCAATGGACGGAGACAAGCCCGGCTAGTGAGTGACTTTTCTTATATCCCTTTCGGTTGGCCTTCTTTTTGCTTTCGGGGTTTTATTCGGATGTGGGTTCAAGAACGTATCTCGAGGCTGTAATAATAAAAACAGTAACGGAAACTGGGTGCAATGCACACGAACAAAGCATGAAAGAACAATAAAAGAAATCGCCCAGCGATTTTGTGGCAGCAAAGCGATTCTGAACCGGAGATAGAGGCCAGAAAGAGTTGGCATTAAATTAGAGCAAAATGAGCCACATTTAAAGGTCCTTTGCCAAACTGAGCTGATAGCATATATTAAAGCCCTTGTCTTGTCGGCCGGAAGGTCAAAAAAAAATGTATGTTGAGTATAAATCTTATTACCGACACACATCCCATCCACAAAGAAAAAGCAAACACATCCGCCTTTTTGCCAATGTGTCGAGAACTCAATGTTAATCAGCTTAGACAACCTCCGTCATCGGTTTCGAGGCATTTCGTTGTATTTTCTGTTTTTTTAGGCACATCAAGGGGCCTGAGAGCAAACAAATAACTCGACTCCGTGGGTGTGGTGTTTTATCCCCGGGAAATGCTTTTAAAAATTAAACAACTGATAAATGACAAAGTTCGTTGGACCAGAAATTATCGTTTGACAAATTGGCAGGCCATGATGAGAGCTCATCAATTGCTTGGCAACCACGTGGAGACCGAGTCCTGTTAAATCCTGCGACTGGAAAGCACTTACAGCAAAGCCAGACGAATTACTTATGACTAAATGGGTCTATTGACATGGAAAATTAACCCTAAGAAGATTTTACGTTGAATAACGAGTTTATGCCTGAAGTTTATTTTTATCTTGGGGTCATAAGTCCTATTATTCCAGGACCTATTCACGTCTTTAAGCTTGGTTGGCTTAAACCCTATATGAAGTAAAGAATTTCGTTTGTTATCAATAAAACATTTTCATTGACTTAACTTAAAAGTCAATAGCAAAGTGTCAGCTTGCATTAAAGTTGTGTTTAGTTGGTTTTTTAAATAAATTTGTTTCTTTTTACTCATTTTTTTTTTTTTATAATACATTATTAACCTATTAAAGAATCTCCATTCTTCATAATTTAAAACTTTGACCACAAACTGCGCACAAAAGTTAACTTGACACTCAACCACCGAAATGTAGTTTGATAGTGCATCATCAACAATAGCCATGGAAAGTAAAAAATGGAAAGGGAAAAACTTTACTAATTATCCGTTAAGCAAGAAAAATACCAGCATAAAAACGCAGAGACGCTCAAAGAGCAACAATAAATTTTACGACGACCATAAAAAAAAGATTGGACGAACACGCGGGGCACAAATTTAAGCACTTTCGTGTGTCTGAGTCAGGATAAATTTAGTTTTGGGGAGCAAAGGTTCGCCACTTAAAATGCATCCTTATCCTTTCAAACTTCATTGCGCTGCGTGCGAAAAGAATGACTCAAAGCTTTTTAAACGGACTCAGATACACAGCCACCCAAAAATACTCTCCCACAGCACATGTAGTCAACTTTACGTCCAGTTTTATAGTTTTTTTATGTATAGCTGTCTCACTAATTGCCACATGACTTGGCCAAAGATGAAAAGGACGCCCCAGGACGAAACGAAATTAATGAAATTACTTTAGTGTCGCTGGAACGGACGTATTGTGTATTGTATATGCATTTATCCAATTGCACTTCGAGCGTAGCATATAGATATCTATGTAACCGAGATAGATGTGACCACTTATACTTAGTAAACTATTGAATTTGTAGCTAATTCGAAGGCAGTGCACTCTTTTTTGTCATGAAAAGGGGGACCAAACGTACAATGAAACAAAGAATTCAATACGAAAAATGTGTACTTTATTTTAACTAACTAAATCTGAATAAGTGAGATCTATAAATGTTGATAGTAGTGTGAAAATTGTTACAACTATATTCGATATACTTTATGTACAACAATACAATAAAAAAGGTTTATGCATGTTATTAAACATAAGTTTGAGATTTATTCAGAAATCTGATATGAAAATGTTACTTTGAGTACTAGCAAATATTTAAAAGTAAATAAAACATAATAATAATAACTTTTTTAATGGTTTTTTTAATGTGATATTTATATAATGTGGGCATACTAAATAGCTTGTTAAATACCTAAGTGTTCGTTTGCAGGTAAGTTTTCTTTTAACTTTTGATTTATTTTTATTTAAAATGTGTTTGTATGAGAACTTCGCATACAGAACAGGAAATCATTTCAGATTTAAGCAAAAAATTAATATTGAAGTAAACTTTGTATAATAATAATAATATGTCGGAAATACTGTGTTAAAATTTGGAGTCGATTAGAGTCAAACTAACGGAGTTACAGCGTTTTAAACGACCGAATTTGGAGGAATTTTGACGTATACAATACTTTAAGTCGAAAACATTATTTTAAAAGTCGGTGAACATCAGAACTCAAAATCTGCTGAACCAATCCTGTTTTATCACAAAGTCTTCAACTAAACACGCAGGTAATCAGGAATAGTTTTTTTAATTTTTTTCTATTTTTAAAAAGTAAATTAAAAGGAATTTTTTGAGCTAAAATATCACTTTTCACTTCCAAGTGCTGCAAATCATTTTTGCATATCACTTTTCTTTAAAGATGAACCGTTAACGTTAACTTTTTCTGGGCGCTTCTGAAGATGAACCATCACAGGCTTATTTCTAAATACTTTGCATTAAAATTTTTTTCTAATACTCTTCAAGAGTTGAACAACAATATGTCATTTAAATTAATGAAATTAAATTACACATTTCCCCACAAAAAAGTTCAAATATGGACACTTTTTTGGCCTTTAAAACATTACCTCCTTTAAGGTTAATATCAGTGTAAATAAAAAGCTTGTGTCCAATATTATGGAAATTATAGTGTCAAACATTAGCGGCTTTCACTTTCTTAGAAGTTTTCTTGTCTTCTTGAAAGAGAAACATATCATTTTATTACCCTTATTTGTTTGTTTGAATCCAATTAAAACAAACTAAACTTTGAAAAACGTTACAACTGATGTGTGACCAGCTTTGCGCAACTGTGAGGTATTTTTCGGGGCTTAGCTTCGGGTCACACTGTTCACTAGCAAGCACCTACAAAAACAACAACAACACGGAAGTCTGTAAATGTAAATAGACGGAACTTGCTGCAGAGACAGCTAAAAAACACAACAAATTGAAATTCTCAAACATCAAAAGTAAGCCGAGGAAAGAAAGCCAGCCGCTGGTCAATTAAATGCGCATCAAAATGAATTGTGAAGTGCAGGAGCAGCAAAAACATCAGTCACAGCAGCAGCAACAACAACACGGCAGCAGCAGCAACAAGTTGCCAGTGAGAAAGCAGGAGAGCTGCTCCGACGATGATGAGAGTCCCAGCCGGACGACGGAGCGCCAGAATCTGGAGTTTGCCAAGAAGCTGGGCTACAGCGAACAGTCGATCCACTCTGCCTTAACTCGACTGGGCTCGGAGGCCAAGCAGAATGAACTGCTCGCAGAGCTAATAAAGCTGACTGCGGATGCACCCCGACCCGCCCACATCGTTGGTGGTCATCCTGTGTCCAATTGCGCCAGCAACTCCCCTCAGTCCTCCTCCGCCCTGCGTCACATCGTCATCGATGGCAGCAATGTTGCCTTGTCACATGGCAACAACCTGATCTTCTCCTGCCGCGGCATTCGCATCTGCGTGGACTGGTTCCGGCAGCGGGGACATCGCGAGATCACTGCATTTGTTCCCAATTGGCGTAAAGAGCTGGCCAACAACAACATCGCCGACCAAGAGGTGCTCTACGAATTGGAGCACGAACGATTTTTGGTGTTCACGCCATCGCGACATTTGGACGGTAAACGGGTGTCCTGCTACGATGACCGGTTCATACTTAAGCTGGCCGTGGAAACTGATGGCATTGTAGTGTCCAACGACAATTACAGGGATCTAATCCTGGAGAGCAACGAGTTTCGACGTGTGGTGCAGGAGCGCCTGCTGATGTACTCGTTTGTCAATGATATCTTCATGCCACCGGACGATCCGCTGGGCAGATCGGGTCCCAATCTGGATCTGTTTCTGTGCTCGCAAACGCAACAGAAGATGGCGGATGCCCAGCAGCTGTGTCCTTATGGCAAGAAGTGCACCTACGGGCAAAAGTGCAAGTTCCGGCATCACAATCAGGGTCCGCTGCTGCAGCGCCTGCCACTCCAGGCCTCCCACAGTGCTCCCCTGCACACAAATGGTGGGCAGCAGGTGATCAGTCCAGGTGGAAATAACAATAGCACTGTCAAGATCAATTCACTGATTAGCCGAGAGCCATTGGGGCGCACCAAGTCCAACACAATCGAGCAGGTGTGCCAGGGGTTCTCGGCCCAAATGGAGCTGACCGACGGGTCTATGGAATCCAGTCAGCCAAATCGCCACAAGAAGCTGCAGCGCCAACAGCCGCCGCCCGCCTTTCGCCTCCTGGTGCCCACATACAGCGCTCCGCTTCAGCAGCAACAGGTTCATCACCAGCACCAACAGTCCAACTCCAGTTCTAACTATCACCATCAGTATCTGACGCGCACGCCATCTGCCCCGGTCACGGATCAGGGATTGGGTCTGCCACTGCCCGCTCACAACTTCGCCCATCTGTCCGCCTCCGATTCGCGAATAAACGAGGAACTGCACGCCTCCCAGCAACTGCCGCGAGAGGAGCAGCGGCGATTGCTCCGTTATCACTTGGGTAGCCTGTTTCCACCGCACCAAGTGCACGCCGTACTGCAACTTTACCCGGAGGAGACCGACGCTAAGGCCATCTGCGCAGCTATACTTAATTTATTTCCGCATAATTAGGCTAGGCTTAAATTTCATCAATATACTTAGATGTATAATTACACGCGTGTGTCTCTGTTTTATGGTTAAAGAGTGTCGACGCTTTGGGACGACAAGGGGTCCTCGCTCAAAACTTAAATTTCCAGGCCCACAATGTTGGCTGTATCGTAAGGCATCATACCGCCAACGGAATCCCGTGAGGATTGGCCTCTCCGCTCGTGGATGATACGGTGGTTACGCAGCTTGTACGCCTGCGGAAAGCCTTTTCCGCAGATATCACAACTGAAGTAAGAAGAAAGAAAATATTATTTATAATAATTAATGATGATTATTGTAAGATAGTCAGCGATTTATTTTTATTTTGATACAATTTTTGGGTACTTTGACTTGGGATACGATTTACGTACTTTCAACCAACCTAAGAACACTATATAGAATATGCAAGGCTTAGTTTTTTTTTTTTTTTTTTGAAAGGAAACATCACCTAACCGTGTAACATAATTGAACATTTTTTTTATAAACAAATTGCTGAAAACTATTGCTTGCAGATATTGAAATACAAATTAAAAAATTTTCTCGGTTTCAATTTCCTTATAAGAGCCCCAAATAGTGATAGTTCGTGGTAAAGATGTTAGACTGTAAATGCTAGGGAAAAATATGACTTACACATGGGGCTTCTCCCCCGTATGAATCATCTTGTGGAACTTTAAGGTGTTGGTGTAGGTAAATGTCTTGTGGCACACATCGCACTCATAGGGACGCTCATTGGTGTGGATCCTGCAAGTGGTTATAAATAAGTCAAATACCGATTTTGTTTGAGTTAATTAACTCACCTGTGGTGCTTGTTGCGGGTGGACAGATCTGCAAATGCTGCCGGGCAGTAGCTGCACTTGTACGGTCGATTTCCAGTGTGGGTGTTCATGTGCCTCGCCAATTGCTGAGCTTGCGCAAAGCAGTGGCCACAGATTCTAAAAAAGCAAAATCAAATATAAATAAGTTTATGGTTTTCAAAACTCTAATCATAATACATATTAATTGTGGCGCTATAAGAAATTATTTTGGCATACACACAACTTGAAACTACGTTACATAAGCACTATTTCCACCTGTGTTTTGAAGCTATTTTATAGACTTACTCGCACTCGTGGGGCTTAACGCCGGAGTGAGCCTTGGTGTGCTCGGTGAGGCGACTCTGGGAAGGATACATGTTGCCGCAGACATCGCAGATGTACTTAAACTCCTTCTTCTCCCCGACGAGAATCTTGTGGCCGCCCTTCGTTTTAATGCCAGCATGCTTTCGCGCCAGTGCTTCGCCAATGGAGACGCCGTCTTCGGTTTTCATGACGATATTGGTGGCAGCCGCATCGCCATTATCCCTCCGCACTTTGACGAGGCCACCTCGAGCGGTAATTTTCGAGGTTCCCGATGCTGCAGTTACCGATGCTGATGACGTTGCCCTGCGTGAGTTGGTTCTTCGCTTACTGGTTCCTCGAGCACTGATTGTTGCTAAAATATTTTTGGTGGGGATGAACTTTTCCTCTAAAATATTTTTGGTGGGGATGAACTTTTCCTCTGCTGAGTTCAAATCACTATCCGCCTCGTCCTCGTGGGCGCTTTCAGTCAATTGATCCTGATCGACCTGATCCAAGTATTCGATATCAGCTGAAAGTTCGGAGAGCGAATGATCGACCATTTCCTGCTCGTAGGTACCCTGCTCTGTTATGATGTCCCCCTCGTAGGTCTCGTACACATCGTACACTTCCTCGATGATGCCATCCTCCTCGACCTGTTCGTTTTTCACGTGCACAATGCGATTTTTTTCCAGTTCCACAAGGATGCCCTCCTCCAGATCGTCGTGAAAGACGCCCTGAACTTCCGTAGACTCCTCCGCCTCGCCTACAACGTATTGACTATCGTCCAGGTCCTCCTCCTCCTCTTCTTCCTCGTGTTCCTGCTCTTGCACAACTTCCTCTGGCTCCTGCTCCACTTTGGGGGCTGATTCTGGACTTTTCTTCTCCGGCGTTCGCTGCTCTACCTCAACGGGGCCCACAAACTGCCGCAGATGTCCATATGATCGCTGACACGTCTCGCGAAACTTAAAAGCCATTTTAAGCACCCTGAAGCACTTCTCGCATATCTTGTCAGGATAGTGATCAAACTGCTTGATCTGCAAGGGCGATTGCTTGGATAACGAACTGTTTGGGAGACCTAGTGACATACTTACGGGCACTCCGCCGCACTCACGGATCATGTTGGTCAAATCCTTCTCGGAATCATCGTTGAAAATGCTCGCCATGGGTTCCTTTGGCTGCTGAAGACAAACCCGGCAAACAATCCACTTTTGCGTGGTTGCTGCCGCCGCTGCCGGACTCGCATGTGCCACCGAGTCTCTCATTGTCGGGAAATAAACAAATATCTCTTCCGTATAGCTATATTTTGATTTTATATTTTGCCAAACACGCTCGTTACTCGAAGACGACGCCAAAAAAATATAATGTAGTCTGGAGCTAAGATGGTTGCGTTGCAACGCGAATGGCATTGGCACAGGGTGACCACTGCATCGATGGTCTTCGCATTGAGGGTGTCCCTCATTGGGCTAAATCAATATACATAGTTTTAAAATAATTTACTTATTTGTCACAGAGCTCCAAACTTAAGGCAGTGGTCTGCTTTAGGAGCCGAAAAAAGAGCGTTTTTTCAACAATTTTTTTGAAAGGGAAGGAAATGATTGCGGTAAACGAAATTTTGAGACGATATAATATTGTATTTAAACTTTAAAAAACAATTTTTATTATTGCAAATAATTGAAATTAGCGGAAGTTGTAACGATTTTTCTGGGGCGCCTAGAGTGTGCACTTGTTAATCGGTGCCGGTGATGGAGTTCGTGCGATGCATCTGAAACAGTGGAACTAAATTTTTTTTTACTTTTTATAAGTTCCTTTTCTATATGAACTAAAAAAATTCCGAAGAAATGACGAAATTCCAAATTTTTTCTAAGTTTGAAAAAAAAATTCACTTTTTTGGAAAAAAAGTTCACTTTAAGTTGCAAAACAAATAATTTAAATAGTACTTTTATCCATTTTTTTAGTTCAAATAGAAGATAATTCAATACTGAAGCTAGATCACTTTGGTTTTTTTCGATCGGACATATATTTTTTTACTATGGCCGGCACCGCTTTCCAAGACTTGTGAAAATAAAAACTCGAGAAAACGGGCTGTAAAGTCTGCCCGATCATACGAACTTGCTCGACGCTCGGCCACTAAAACTGATCTAGCTTCGAAAATATGTCGAATTGGCCTCTAAAATTTTGAACACATATTCTTGGATAGTTTTGGAATAGATTTAAGACAAAAAAAAAAATCGATTTTTTCAAGTCTGTAAAGCAGACCACTGCCTTAAGTTAATCCTTAACATAACTTTTCTTTCATACTCGTTAAAATTACACAGAATAATAAATAAATCTAAGACAATAACTAACACTGTCATTTTAAGAATCAAATAATTTTGTTTTCCTGTAAAATCAACTTTTAAATTAAATGGTAACAACATTACGGTAACAATTTTAAGGATTAACTTTCTTAAGCAAGCTTAAATTAAAAAGACTACGTTCGAAGTGAGATAACACCATACCAAATTTATTGAATGCAATGATAAGAAAAAACAAACTGCAACTTTTGAATCTACTTGTTATCTATATATAAAAAAAAAACATTTTAAGTTAAATCGTATATTAAATAAGAATGACGTAATTAAATACGGATTTTTTTATAAAACCTTATTTTTGGAACGTATTCTGCGCAACTAAAAGACATTCGCTTATTACCGATACTTACTGTACTGAATCGCATTGGACACGGTTCGTTGTGAACGGCTAGTGTCCATGGACGCTTGCATTCAGCTGTTGGAACTTCTTAAACCCCTATACATACTTTCAAACCATAATAAATAACAGGAAATCAAGATGAAAACTGAGTCGAATGAAAAGTGGATTGTGTGCCGCGTTTGTCTAAACAATCCCAGTGATGGTGAAGAGCTGCTCCATGAGATATTCAGCCAAACGGCCAGTACACGCCTGGACCAAATGTTGCACATTTGCGCAGGCATCCCAGTAAGTAGGACCCCGGTCTATTTTAACAATAAAATTATAAAGTTTTGCACTTAACAGGTCAGTCTTGACGACAAATTTCCGGACAAGATGTGCAGCAAGTGTGTACGCTGTCTGCGACTTAGCTACAAGTTCCGACAAACGTGCCAGCGATCCCACCAGCACATTTTGGACATGTTGATGCGCGAGGCCAGCAACTCAGGTAATTCAGGCGAAGCGGAGCAGCTTGGTCTTTCGGACGATCTTACGGTTGAGAGCGTTGTCAAGATTTGGGAACAGGACACCAGCCAACTAGATGGCGATTTTAAGGTTGAAAAGGAGGATTTCCAGCCGTCGCAAGAAGAGTTTATTACATACGTTGTAGAGGAAGCCGATGGTGGAGATACTATTGTTTTTGATGAGGAGGATCACACGCAGGCTGCCTTTGATGTCGAGCACACTCTCATCGAGAAAGCGGAACCGTATGCTGTGTATGAGGAATATGAACTGCTCAGCACCGAAAACCAAGCCACTTTATCTGATCCCGGCCAGGAAACGCGCTCTAACGTTACAGACCTGGCTACAGAAGTGCTTCCGGATGTAGACATAACCGAGGATCTGCTTAGCTCGGACGAGAGTTACGTGGAAGAACCGAGGGTAACTCCGGGAAATCGCCAGCGTACTATTAGAAAACTGGCAGCAGTCAACAAAAAAGACATTGAAGTCGAACCCGCCAAAAAACAAGGCAAAAAGCAGCGCAACAAGCTATCCACGTATATCTGTGACGTATGCGGGAACATCTATCCCTCACAGGCTCGCCTCACCGAGCATATAAAAATCCATTCGGGTGTGAAGCCCCACGAGTGCGAGTGAGTTATAAATTCTGAAATTAATAGTAACTCTTATAAGTGAGATTTTATTTTGCAGAATCTGCGGACGGGGCTTTGTCCAGAACCAGCAGCTGGTGCGGCACATGAACACCCACACGGGAAACAGACCCTACAAGTGCAACTACTGCCCAGCTGCCTTTGCCGATCGATCCACCAAAACCAAACATCACAGGTATGTCATATATCAAAGAATTTCTCAAAAAAAAAATGTGACAAATAGCTTCTAATATTTATCTTCTCTAGAATTCATACTAAGGAGCGTCCCTACGAGTGTGATGTTTGCTCAAGGACTTTTACCTACTCGGATAACCTGAAATTTCACAAAATGATCCATACAGGGGAAAAGCCTCATGTGTAAGATATTAGTTGCTGCTCTATTGACCATTTTTAATTTTTATCCATTTGAAGATGCGATCTATGTGGAAAGGGCTTTGTAAAGGCCTACAAGATGCGCCTTCATCGGGTAACGCACGAGAAGCGTGGTTCCTGTTCCTGGAAACCTGACGTCGAAATAAGCGCCGAGGGAGAGGTCAAGGAGGAGCCCACAAAGTATAAATAATGACTTGATCTTTTAAATGGACAAAGACAAGTTTTGGGACTTAAAAAGCCTTTGTTATAGCTTTTACATTAAACTGTATAAAAAGAAAACTACATTTAAAGCTAGGACTGTAAGCTGGAAAGTTTTCGCTGAACAGTATAGAGGAAAAAGTTTAATTATCATTTATGTATATATCCGTTTATTTGATAAAAACCTTAAATTTAAAATAAAGAAAAAGCATCATATTATTGGGTTACCAATACCATTCTTAAAACGAAGGTTTATTCTTTAGAACTTTTTTTGTTTGTACCACAAGTTTTAAAAGAGAAGTCCTGCGACTTCTAGATTTTCTGGTCATTCTTTGGCCTGTGCGATCTTTCGTGAGCGTTTTTGTGGTGGAGCTGGGAAAAGGTCCTTTGACAGTGCTGGCAGGAAAATGGTCGCTCACCCGTGTGGGTCTTGAGATGAACTCGCAAAACATTGGAGTAGGAGAAGGACTTGCTGCAGTACTTACACTTGTATGGTCTTTCATTGGTGTGGATCCTAAAATGAAATAAATTTTTGCAATCATTAGAATGTATATTAACTTGTTTTAAGAAACCCCAACACATATTTGTCTTTGAAGTTTAAGTTGCTAATATTGTTTGGTTATTTGTCTTATTTGAATCGATTATTATCCTGACCTTTGATGCTTAATACGCGTGGAAGGATCTGCAAAACTAGAGTCGCAGTAATCACATTTGTAGGGACGGTTTCCGGTGTGCGTGTTCATGTGCCTCGCCAGCTGCGGAGTCTGTCGAAATCGTTTATGGCAGATCCTACATAGAATTGGGATTTGTTTGGATTTTTTTGGTACAAAATTTTTATCTCTGCTTACTCGCACTCATGTGGTTTTTCGGTGCTGTGGACCTTCATGTGGGTAGTCAGTTTGACCCTATCTATGTAGACATTTTGGCAAATATTACAGGCAAAGGATTGAGCTTGGCAAGCGCCCTCCTCTTCTCCTGTTTCCGGCTTTGGACTCAGTGAATAGATCGATTCCTCTGGCGTGCAGCTAGAGGGTTCTATGCTGACCATTTCATCAGCACTACAGGCTGCATCCTCGCTGTTCTCCAGCGTCACATCGTAGGATTCCAGGTAGTCGTACTCAACATCGCTGTCACTGGGAAAGGGCTCCTTGCTGGGCAAATCCTGGGAATCACTATTTTGCTTCACTCTCTGGTCGTCATGATGAATTTGGATATGAATCTCTTGATGTTCCAACTGCTGCAACTCCTTTTCAGCCTTTTGGCAGAGGATTCGGAGTTTGAGGGCTGCTCGTAGAAGAAGGGCGCAGCTAGTGCATATGTGGTTGGGCCAGTTGGGATTGTCGCTCAGCTGGGGTTGTGAAACACGCATTTTTTATGAGTAAATATAAGGCGTAACAAACCATTTCTAAAGTTACCTCAACTCCCGTGCATTGTTTAATTTGGTCTGGGAAATCCGGCTGCGTTGGAATAAGGGACTCGTCCTTCGGTTGAAGCAAGCAAATGCGACACTGCAAGTCGTCTTTCTCCATTTCCTGGTGCATATTGTTATCAGAAATACAAAATGCAACTTATCTGCTAGTCTATGCCTTTCCTAAACAATCAAAATTGTTGTGACTTCGGGGTGAATGGCAAAAGGCCGGACGATAAATATCAACGAACGGCAAAATATCCAAGAGGAAGCAGATTTATTTTGATCGTTAATTTTTCGTTTATTTAAATGCAGCTAAGATTGGACATGTTAACCCTGTGCAGGACCTGCCTGCAGGATGGCGAATCGCACATGGTCTCCATTTTCGAAGCAACAGACGGAAAGCTGGGCGGCGGAATTTCACTTGGAGATAAAATTGAAATTTTAAGCGGAATTCAGGTGTGATGGCTGATTTCTTTTTTCTTTGAATTTCAATTTAAGACATTGTTTGCATTTGAAGATAAAGCCATCGGAGGATCTGCCCTCGATGATCTGTCTTAAATGTAAGGCCTTTCTGACTCTGGCGCATAAGTTCCGCCAGATTTGCCAGCGCTCCAATCAATTTCTCAGGGAGTATGTGATAAAGGATGCAGGGGAGCAAGTGGTAAAGGATGTAGTAAAACAAGTGAATAATTCCTCGGACCCCACTCCAGCGCCAAATGTGGAGTCGGAGCAGTACGAACAACTAGAGGTAGAGGTGGTCGAGGAGGAAGCCTGGGCCACCGAAGATCTTATTGAGGAGGCATTACCATCGGCAGAGAAAGAACAGCCCACGGATATCGACGTGCCAACAGTACCTGCTCGAAATCCCGCTCCTTCAGTCGCAGCTAATGGTAAACTTCATGTGTGCGAGATCTGCGGTAATGGTTATCCCAGAAAAAGCACACTGGACACTCACATGCGAAGGCATAACAATGAACGACCTTTCGAATGCGAGTAAGTGGATTCCATGTACATTATTTAAATACATTGACTTACATGTCACCATTTCAAGGATATGCCATAAGAGCTTCCATGTCAACTATCAGTTAAAGCGCCACATCCGGAAGCACACGGGCTCAAAACCATACACCTGCCAATATTGCCAGCGAAGTTTTGCAGATCGTACTTCCCTTGTCAAGCACGAAAGGTATGTTTCGAAGTTTTTAACTCACTTTTATAAAGTCCACCCAATAGATGATATCGTTTTCACAGAAAAAAAAATTAAATTAAAGTAAATTAACTAAAAACTGTTTCTGCAGATAGTGCTTATTGACTCAGAAACAAATCAAAATCTTACCAATTTCTATGAGAGCGATTAATTTTTATTGGTTGGATTTCAAATACTCCTCCTTCGTTATAATTTTCATAGTCTTACTAAAATTAATTACACTGAAGAACCCACCGAAATGAACGTCCTTATGCTTGCCAGACTTGCGGGAAAACTTTTACTTACGCCAGTGTCCTTAAGGTGCATTATAAAACGCACACGGGCGAAAAACCTCACACGTAAGTTGAATAAATGTAAATATTATCTACAACTTTACTTAATCGAGTGATTGTTCTGCTTACAGATGTCGACTCTGTGAAAAGAGCTTTGCTCGTATTCACAATCTAGTTGCCCATTTGCAGACCCAACAGCATGTAAATGATCCACGTTTGGCTGATTATCTGAATACCCTAAAAGTGGGAAGCACTTCAGTTAATGTTTGAAACCAATTTGCAATGTAATATCTAACGCTACTTCATTTAACCTTGGCTAAATTTTAAATCGCCATCAAGGTTGTAATTGTTTAAAAATTAAATGCGGGTATTTAATTGCAGTGAAAATGTTAAATTATTTACTTTAAAATAAACCAATTAGAATAAATATAAATATATAAATCTACAGATATATTAAATGTGTTGTACAGTTCAATTACTGCCTTTGATAAACTAAAACTCTCGTTATTTTTGTTCAAGGTAATTAAAACACAATTATATTTGGTAAATTTTTACACTTTTTTTTATTTAACTTACTTAAAAGCGGTACGCAATCTTTTTCTTTGTTTTGTTTCTTTTAAATTTTTGTTTCACAAATTTTACAACTTTGTATACGTTGTATCAGGAAAATGCCGAAATGTTATTAAAAAGTGCTTTCTTGGCTCTTGTGTTCGAGATAATCGCAGTGGGAGGATTGGGAGGTCGGTTGTATTCTTTAACAAAATTAAATAACAAACTATGAACTTGGATCCTGATTGGCAAAGATGGCCGGTAGGGCCGATTGCCTTTGCACAGCAAAGAATCATCTACTTGGCCACCATGCGCATCTTATCCTTCAGCAGATTGCGTAGCTCGGTGACCATCAGCTCATGGGAGTCCTTAAAAGTGGCGGAGACATCGCCGATTAGCGTGGCTTCCACCTCGGGCTTGAGCGACATGTCCGACATAAAAGAGCTGAGGTCGCGTGGAAGCACCGGTGCCTTCCAGGAGCCTGCGGATTGATATAAATAGAAATTAGCTCATTCTCGAGGTTTATACTGGATCTACGTACGTATTGCTGCATCGCAGGTTTCCAGCTTGTGCTTAAGCTGCCGCATTAGTTCCTGCAACATCTGGCTTCGCTCCTTTTCGCTGATCGGCTGTGGTCCACCAACCTTAGAGTCTGCTGGCTTTTTCTTCGTCTTTGTTTTTGAGCTGACCTGCAGCTTGTCATTTAGCACGGAAAGCAGAAAGGCGTAAAGTGAAAGCATCTGAAGCAAAAAGAAGTAGTTATTGTAAATAGTAGGTTCATAAAGATTAATTTATAAAACCTACTTCCAGGCTAGCAGCCACCTTTTGCTGCTGCTCCCGTCGCTTCCACAAACCGTCCGTGTCGTTGCAGTCGTTGCTATCATTAATAGTTTGCACGCACAGCTCCATAACCGCGATGACGTTGTCGCCCACCCTTTTGCATTGCTCGGCCAACTTTCCGGATCCACTTTGCAGGTCCAGAACCAACTGCGCCATGTCGTCGAAGAAGCGCTCGTACGGCAGGTCAAGCAGAAGGGTAAGGCGCGTGGGCAGCAGGTTGACTAGAAATTTTTGCGCCAACGGCTTATAGTTCATAAGCCGCAGTCGTTGGAATAATCCCGTCCAGGACTCTCGCAGGAGCTCCACCGTGGCGGTCTCCGTTCCCGCCGGCTGTTCTTTTGAGCTGGTGCCGTGATACAAGTCGATAAAGGACGCAAAGAGTCTGAGCATCAGTGAGCGCAGCTGCAAGACCTCCACCTCTTGGTCGAAGGACTCCTTTCGCTCCTCCGCAGCATCCACTTCGTGAAGAGGATCCCAGCGGATGACAGCCCCCAAGTCACGATTGTCGCTTAACTCATGCCAGGCGATCCGGTCTTCCGCCGGCTCAATGCTCATCGCGGTATAAGCCGTCAGGTTTTGCTGAATATTTCCATAACAACTGACCAGGTCACAGATTTGCGCCTCCACTGAGCATGCTACGTACTGCAAGCTATTGGTCAACCGCTCCTTAAAGTTCATAAACTCTTCCATCTTTGAAAACGTGCAGAATCGATAAGTCAAAGCAATATACTCCAACCGCTCCTTGTAGCTGTTGGTAAAGAACTTGAGAGTGGCGTCATATACGTTCCGCGTACCCGAGAAGCGACCGCCAAGGGGCAACAGTTGGCAGTGAACATAGCCCATCGAGTCCAGCTGGATCTGCTTGATGTCCAGATACTCGTACATCTCTTGGGCACCCACCTGGCACCCAAACATATGGTAGATCTTTAAACTTAGCAGCTTCACGTGGAAGTTGCTAGTGCTATTTCGCAGGACGTACTGCAGCAGGCACAGCGCCTCAAAGAGGTAATCCGATTTGTTTTCCCGTCTACTAAGGTCGTACATCACATTTGCCGCCAACAGGGCATATGCGTCCGATGGTCCCATTTCCGTGGCCAGCAATTTCTTGCCAAAAGTACTCCGACCATGCTCGTAATGCAGTTTTAGGGCTGTATAAAAAGCGAGCAGGTGATCCACGGGCAGATCCATGTGAGAGCCGCACATCCTTGATATTTGCAGAGCGCAAAGGTGCTTCTGCATCTGCTCTTTCTGCAAGGGTTTAAAATATTTTATTTCGAAAATGAATATTAATGAATACCTCGAAATTGAACTTACATTCTTTGGAAGCGACGTGGAGGTGACTCCGCTCTCCAACAGCAGCTTGCTGGCCAAAGCCTGCCGCTGCTTCATGCTAACCGAAGGCAAGAACAAGGCAATATCATGGGTGCAGCAGGATTTGTCGCCGAACAATTGGAAGTATTGGATTACCATCTCGTCAAAGTCGCCAATGAGTTCCTCCGCCGGCAGATGTTCTGCTCGCATGCGCTGATGAAGCTCTAAACGCGCCAGATAGGGACCCCGTTTTTTTCGCTCCGAAGAATCAATAATGCCCTGAAGAAACTCCTGACACCTGGCCAGCGAATCTCTGTCCCCGTTCTCACTTGCCTGCGGCGTCAATCTCAGCAATTCAAACGAACTTTGGATATACTCTTTGTAAAAGTCCCAGCGGTCGCGACTGGAGATACGGAGATAAATAAATGAATTTTTACATTACCGGAGGAACTTACTCTGCGTCAAGAAGCTGTTGCAATAGTTCATTTAGCTCCCGCCAGTTTCCCAGTTCCTTAAGTAGTTCAAACTTCATGCTGACCGGTGCGCCAGGATAAAGCTTGGCACACAGCTCTCCGGTGAGAAAATCCCAAGCCTCTTGGTACTTATTCTGAAGCTTAAGGATGTGCAGATAGAGGAAGGCCTCCTGTTCCGTCTCCATCTTGCCCTCCTTGATGTGTTTGTCAACCATACGCTGCGCTAGTGCCAAGTAGATTTTTCGCTTCTCAGGCATCGCCGACTCTGGCCCTCGAATTCCCTGAAACACCACACTAATGACGGACCAAAAGTAGTACGCATTTTTGGGCTGAGCCTTGAACAGTTGCAGGGCAACTGCTTGTTGAGCCTTGTAGTCCTCCACCCTAACATGCGAGATGAAGAGATGGGCGAGCAGCTCCTCGTTTCCGGGATTCTGCTTTACCGCGTGCTGGTACAGCTCCACAATTTTGTCCACTGTAAATAGGAGGATAGATAAATATATATTTAGCGATCTGTTTTGCAGGTACAGGTATCTATATACTCAGATCGTTGGCACGCACTTGCCGCTGTCGTCCGACTAAGAGAATGCGATTTTAATTAGTCGGGCGAATTGCGCGTGCCAAGAAAATACGAAAATATGAATTGTGGCCACTTCGTGTGCGTAGCAGAGGCGTCTCTGGGGGGAACGATCAACAGATGCCATGTCCCGGATGTGGGAAAAATAAAACTAGCTTTTATTGAAAAAAAAAAAACCGAATTTGTATAAACAAAACTGTAAAATATTTTTAGTAGTCAGAAAAATAGAAAAAATAATAAAAAATGCTGATCAAAGTAAATGAATATTGAAAAACTTAAATCGTAAGTGCTTTGTAACTAACCAATTAAATTACAAAAATATGATTTTTTTGCTAAAGCTCCTAGTGTTGAAAAGAAAATATTTTTAACTTCGTAGATAACCATCATGTCTTCCCCAAAAAGCATATTTTCTTGAATCCCACCAAAGTTCCCTTGCTAAGGGATGATAATTATTGGTTTACTGTCTTAGCGATTCAAATAATGTCTGTATTATTCATATCTTAATTAAAATATGTGACTTCTGTCTGTAATCCTAATCCATTGCCATTTAAGCAAATTATTATCTATCCAATGAGAACGTTGTTAATCAACGATATCTCATATTTTTCTTTGCTATATTCAATGACAACAAATAAGGGCATCGTTGCTCCTAATCAACTTCCCCGGTAATAGGCTGATACAACTCTTTCTCCAGACTGAATCGGAGCCATACGTACGTTGCTCCATTTCGCGGTAGCAGAAGGACAGCACCTGCAGCGTGGAGTCATCCGTGGGCTTCTCTAAGGCAACGGTCTGGAGGCATCCGTGACTCTCGTCGTAGCGCCCCAGTCGAAGAAGGGATAGTCCTTTCAGGGCACGGGCGCATAGCAGGGTGGGATGTTTTCGGAGCAGCTTCTCGGACTCTTGCAGGGCCTTTCGGTTGTTGCCCACCTCCAAGTTATCTGTGAAAGATTGAAATTTGGGTCATTACTCAGGGTTCAGGGATTCTCCTCCTAGGACACACTCACCATAGACCGGACGCAGTCGCCGCTCGAACAAGGCTGAGTCCATGCCTTGCTGCTGTGCCATTTTATGGTGTTATGTGGTGCTGCTATATGCTGCTAACCTAATTACAACGTGCTGCATGCACCTCGCACTAAAAATTACTCTCTTTCGGCTTTTGCGGCACGCTGTAGTCTTTTGGTCTACTTCTTTGAAACTTTCGGAGCTTTTCTTGGATTGTCCGTGGTTATCGGGCGGACGAGGGGAGGGCGGCTGGTGAGTGGGTACTCGAATCACTCGATCAAAGGCTAATTAAATGCTTAATTTCATTGAAATCAGTGACTTTAAATTTGATTCAAAATAAAAAAAACCTCAGACTGCCTATTCAGAGAGGAGAGAGCGGCCCTTGGTATATTGAAGTATTTTCCGGTATTTTACGAGACGAGCGTAATAACATTAGGGGTGCTCACACAAATCACTTAATAATACTTAATTTAAGTGGTTAGTCCCATATACAAAACTTTTTAAACATCGTTAAAAATATATACATATATATATGTACCTGTTTGAAAATCTACTCTACCATTAAGAATGTTTTTCAACACATATTTAATACGAGTATACCCATACAAAAAGAGTTAAAAACAACATTTGGAATACCTTATGTAACTTTGGTTTGAATATTGTTTGTTTGTTTTTTTGTTAATTTAAAGGTAAAATTATATCATTTCAACGATATCATCTAGTAACTTGATAAATATTTTTAAAAATGACAGGGACACCCCTTTTGCAGAGCCGTGGGCCAAACAGCTGACTGTTAGAGATGGATCGATGGATAGTCACGACAAGTAACTTGCAAACGAACCATGAATGGCAGAAAAGAGTTTATCAATTTATTTGAGTGTTAATTAAATAATTGTACCTTGATAGATGCACGTCGCACAATTTTTTCCAGTTTAAACAGGACCGGAAAACCAGCCACGAACGGCGTGAGTCACGCACCTGCCACGCAGCACGCAACACGTCAGTTGCCCATCTCTAGTTGCTGCCCCCGAAAGGCGAAAACACGTAAAGTTTTTAAATAAAATGCAGAGATTAGCTGATTAAGCGGCGCGAGGGCTTCAAACCAAACGTTTTTAAGTATTAATCCAACGTTTAAGGAACACTTTCACTTGGTGACATAGTTTAAGTAACCGCTGAAGCGCCGTAATTGCCGCTTTTCCTCGCTGCCAAAAATCGCTGCATGTCCATTTTTGGTGAAGAATTTCTCGCCAAAATTCTTGCCCTTGGCCGGACGCAATGAGAGATGAGATTTAACTGGCTGAGCGAGTACGTGGCCAGCATAATAAGCACATCTCCGTGGCGCCAATTGCAGCAGCAGGTGCAGCAACTCGTCCCGAACCCGCAGGCCATCTACTGCCGTATCAGGTCCTCATCCGCCGAAGCACTGGAGCACGTACTGATCGCCTGTGCGGTGTACTTGCTAGTATGCCTGGGCCTCTACAAGCTCACCTTCTGGCTCTCCAATTCCGGAGCACACAGCGACAGCCACAATGTCGGATCCGGCGACGAAGGAGAGCCGAGTCCAAATCCGGATGGAAATCCAAATCCAGGTGGCCTGAAGCAAGCACTGAAATCCGGACTGCGGCTGCGTAGCGTTCGGCTTCCGAAGACGGCGCATATGGAGCGCGTCCTGCTGATCACAGCCCATCCGGATGACGAGTGCATGTTCTTCGGGCCGCTAATCTACTCGCTGACGCAGCGCCAAGGCTGCCAGGTGTACATACTCTGCCTTTCCAACGGTAAGAGATTGGTGACTAGTGACATCATCGTATAGCAATCAATAGATACAAATGCATTAAACGAAATTACACGTTTTGAAATCAGTAGCATATACGTACTTAGCTATTGTGCTTCCATATGGGAAAATTAATGTTCTTTTAATTTTTGTTAAATTATTCTAACATTATAATAATTTGATAACTTTATTAATCAATTGTATTTCTTGTTCAGGCAACTTCGAGCACAAGGCGAAGGTTAGGCGTCAGGAACTTTGGCGTTCCTGCTCCAAACTGGGAATCCCCGAGTCGAACATCGTGCTAATGAACGCAACCAACCTGCCGGATGACCCCTATGTGGACTGGCGTCCGGATGCGGTGGCCAGTCTGATACTTCATGCCGTCGAAAGCCTCGACATCCAGGCGATTTTCACGTTTGATCGCGATGGCGTCAGCTCCCATCCGAACCATTGTGCCGTGTATTACGCGGCCGCGTCGCTCTGTTTGGCCAACCTTTTACCCAAAGGTGAGGAGGCGTGTGACGCCGGCGGCGACGGATGCAAACAATGGGTGCATGTTAATTGGCGTGCCCATCGCAGCAGTTGTCGCTATTAATAGCCTTAGACATTATAGTATACAGCAATTTTTTATGTATCTTCTCAATGCAGATTGCAAGTTTTACACCTTGGACTCGATCAATGTGATCAGAAAATATCTGTCCATCTTGGACCTGCTGTGCACGTGCTTTATGTCTACGCATTGGTAAGAAATATACCCAAAGAACTATACAGATGATAATTGGAGAGTTTTTCAGGTGCATTCTGAACTGGAAAGAGGCTGCGATTGTGAGAAGCGCCATGAAGGAGCATCAGTCGCAGATGAGATGGTTTCGCTGGCTCTACATCTACACTTCGCGGTACATGTTTATTAACTCGATGCGGCAGATAAGTCTTTCGGATGTTGAACTGGAAATGCAGATACATGATAACTAGCAAGAGAGTGGAACCGATTGAATACCAAAATGCAAACTACCTTCAAGATCGGATGCTTGTTTTTGATTTTTGATGGTTTTTATTTTAGACTCTGACGATTCTACTAGTATGTATGTATGTAACTACTGTTGGCCAAACGATAGATAGTAATTGGAAGGCTATATCAAAAACAACCAGGGAACAAAGAACCAGCAAAGCGGCAGTACCATAGGCAACCGAAACCACAAAACAGTCCATTAATTAGTTCCAAACTCACTTATAAAACGGCATATCTTTAACTCTTATTAGCTAGCTCTAATTATTATTTATAATCAGTCCAAACAATGTTCCAAAGTGTGCGATGTAGTCAAATGCTTAAAAATTAAAAACGTATGTGTTATTATAATTTTTGTTAGCCTATGTCTTGATTTTTGTTTTGTGTACATTTATTCCGCCCTTAGCATACACACCTTTAGTGAGTCACTTTCGTTCTTGTAAAATTGTAAAATAGTTTGTTGTAAGCAGCGAAGTACAATAATAACTTTATAAAATATATTTACCTAAATATATAAATAAAAAATTGTATACACATTACAAATCTGCTGGTGATCCAGAGAGGATAGGTCATAGAATGATGTTAAAGAATATTCATTTAAAGTATTTTATTGAGCGCACTGTCAAATTAGTTGTTTTATGCGCCACGCAGAACTTAGTAAAATGCGAAACGATTTTTGTTGCAATACTTAAAATTTTTTTGTTTTATTTTAATTCTTAATTTTAAATCAAAAACACAGAATTAACTGCAAGTATAATCGAATTATTTGAAGCGGTCTTCTAAACAGCCATTAATACCATAATTTCTTACAATGCCGATTTGGAATTTTTCCCAATCTTCTCCTCATTGTCCGCTTCTTCGGCACAGTTAACAATGACCTTCCCCAGCCCAACGTTGGACTCGTGCTGAGCAGCTCGGAAGGCCTCGTCGGCCCTGCTCAAACTATATGTGCCCGTGATGAACTTGTGCATGTGTGCATGGCCGGATCGCATAAGTTGTAGGGCAGTGGGGTACCTGAGGAAGAGAAGGAAAAGCCAGTAAAATTGCAGACTACAGTGCATCTATTGAACCCACATATTGGCGGATCGAAAGCTGGGTACCAGGCGGATGTTCTTCATCAGGACGTCCAGGGCATTGAAGCTGGCACACTCCGAATCGCATTCGGCCAGCACACACACCCCACACGGCTGCAATGCCATGACCGCCAGATTCATCGTCATGGCCGAAATGGAGCAGTTTATGACGCACTTGGGCCAATCCTGGAACTTGCTGTAGATGGCTTCAAGAACTTCGCCGAACAGGGCGTTATTGTCGAACTCGACGGCCTGGAATCCGAAATCCCGGGCGATCACATCAAGAGCGGGTGCCATACATCCGGCGATGACCACGCGCTTGGCCCCGATGGCCTTGGCGCAGATGCCTGCCGCCACTGCTGTTGGACAGGATCCCAGGATTAGGACGTTGCTTGTGGGTGTGATGTTGGCCTTGAAGCACGCTTGACAGCCCATGGCAAGGGTTTGGGTAAGGGCACCCTCTTCCATGCTGATCGAAGGCGGTAGCCGGTGGCAGAGGTCCGCCGGATGCGTTTGATAAGTGCTCAGAAAGCCGTTGTATACCAAACCGGAGCACATGTTGTAGAGACCTTGTTTGCATAGGTCGCAGATGCCGCAGGATAACGCCGACTCCATCACGACACGGTCGCCAACATGCAGATGGTGGACGCAGCGACCGACTTCCTCCACGAATCCTGTGGCGTCGTGCCCCAGGGACATGGCTTCCATGTCGCTGTTGCCGTTCTCGAAGACGTGGATATCAGAGTTCGAGATGGCCACCGAACCAGTTCGAACAAGGACATCTGTGCGGAAAAAACAAGGAAAATTATGGTTTTCCCTAAAGGAAATGACAAGCTTACCGAAATCCTTTGGACGAGGTCTAGATACGGGAACTACATTGATCTCGTAGGAGTTCTTTATGTGCACCGCATACGCCTGTTTATCAAGGATACGTTTTTCGTCCTTTGGCGAGAGCTTTGTGCTGAAGGATCTCCGCTGCGGCTGCAGCTGAACAAGAGTATTCCGGGCTAACAGAGTGCCTATTCTGCCTTGGAAACAGAAAACCGACCTGGGGAAACTGTGCCCAAAAAAATATAAAATAATTACGCACCATCTTTGTCCTTTTTCTCGTCGCGTTCGCACTTTTTCTTGGGGAACTTGACCTTGGCGCACTTGCCGGTGCAGCTTTTGACACCACAACCGCCGTCGTCGTCACTGAAGCAATCTTCGCGGATACCCGTTCGCTCCTTGGTGTCCTTGCCACGGTTCTTGGGGAACTTGGTCTCCAACTGGCCGCACTTGCCACCCTTCTTGCTCTTCTTTCCGCGCCAGTTCACATTGGTAAGCGCGTTGGGCGAGATCTTTCTGGTCAGTGAACCAAAGCGCCGCCGCAGGAGGGTTGCGTTCATCGTGAAACGAGGAGGAGCCACTTTATTGTCGCCCAGACATCCCTGGCACAGGGAGCACTGACAGGATTCGCCGGTCTTGGGAACGGGAAGACGATGGTGACGGCGCACAAGAGCGGAGTGGACCGTAAAGCGTGGACGACTTGGAACAGAATCAGATTCCCGGAGGGCCTGGTTCAGAGCGGTGGACAAGTAGCGCTTGATTGGATCGCTACGCCTAGAAAAAGTGGAGAACTTGGCGCACTTATCCTTGCCATCTTTGCCGCCCTTCTTGAACTTGGCGCAGGGATCCTTTTTCTTTTCATCCTTTCCGCCCTTTCCGTTCTTGGCACAGGGATCCTTTTTCTTATCCTTGGCACAGGGATCCTTCTTTTTCTTATCATCCTTGGCACAGGGATCCTTCTTTTTCTTATCATCTTTGGCACAGGGATCCTTTTTCTTATCCTTGGCACAGGGATCCTTTTTCTTATCCTTGGCACAGGGATCCTTTTTCTTATCCTTGGCACAGGGATCCTTCTTTTCTTGTCATCCTTGGCACAGGGATCTTTTTTCTCTCCGGACTTGAATTGGGCACAGGGATCCTTTTTCTTATCCTTTCCGTCCTTGGCACAAGGATCCTTTTTCTTGGCACAAGGATCCTCTTTCTTGGCACAAGGATCTTCTTTCTTGGCACAAGGATCTTCTTTCTTGGCACAAGGATCCTCTTTCTTGGCACAAGGATCCTCTTTCTTGGCACAAGGATCCTCTTTCTTGGCACAGGGATCCTCTTTCTTGGCACAAGGATCCTTTTTCTTGGCACAAGGATCCTCTTTCTTGGCACAAGGATCCTCTTTCTTGGCACAAGGATCCTCTTTCTTGCCACAAGGATCCTTGTCCTTGGCCATGGATGTGATCTCAGTGATTTTCACCGCCTTTTTCTTAGGAGCCTTTTTCTTTTCAGGGCGCTCGCAGGGATCCTCTTTGCAGGGATCTGTGATGAGGGGACATTTGCCGGGACACTTGCGCTTGGGCGGCACGGGAGGATGTTTGCATCCGTCCTTATCCACGGGAACCGGCACCTCCTGCTCCTGGGTGCCCGGCACAATGGACGCCTCTTCCGCGATCCTCTGCAAAGCTTCGCGCTGATGTCCGACTTGATTGGCTGCCGACATGTAGGACGTGTCGATAATCCTGGAAGGATAGACCTCCTCATCCTTGGTCAGTTCCAGATCGGCGATGTAGGTATCCGGAGTTTTCGAGCTATCACTGAAACCCTTCTCCAAGGCTGTGCTGCAGAGATTGGCAGCCAGAGAGGTGAGGTCATCGTTGAATACCGGAATATTGTCCTCCGACAGCACATCAAGATTCAGCTTTTGGGTATCGATCTCTACGACGCCTGAAATCAAGGCATTAAACCTAAGCGGAATCGTATGCTCAGGCACTCCCTGCCCATCAAGTTCCACCTTCGAGTGCATACAGATCATAGGATCCTGTTTGGTTACGGCATTCGTACCCATAGTAAGGATAGCATCCTGCAGGCTGGTCATGTCCATTTCGAAGGACAGCTCCATAGACGCGACCGCCAAGTCGTTAAGCCGATTGTTCAGATCCTGCGGCACATCCACTCGGACCTCCTCGATGAAGTTACCCTCTTCGGTTTCAACTACCTTGTTATCCGCAGTCCGGGTAGACGGATTCTTGATGATTTCGGGTTGGGCCAGGGCAGACATGGACTTGGTGGACGTCTTCATTGAAGTACTGGCTCCGGAATTGCCAATGGCATTCTGGAGGCAGCTAGTGACTGCCGCCTGGCGCTGCATGGGCATGCTGTCGGCACCCAGTCCAGCGTTCATAGTGCTTCCCACGGCACTTACGTCAGTCGCTTCCAAGGATGGATAGTTCTCAAAGAGGTTACGATCCTCGGCCATCGCCTCCGACATCCGCTCCTGCGCCTCCACCTCCTGAAGAGCCTCATTCAGCGCGTTGTACTCCTCGACCATGCTGCTGGAAAAGGTCTCGATATGGTTGGCGTACATGCGCAGCTGGTTAATGGTTTCCAGCGTTTCCTTTAGAGCATTGGCGTCCATGCCCGCCAAGTCCAAGGGCACGATGACGATCTTAAGGTCCTTGCCATCACCAGTTTCCGGTGTAATCAGGCCAATGGGTAGGATCTTGGGACTATTGCTCGATTTGCCGGAGAAGCTGATTCGTTTGCGCAACATGTCCGCGTTGTCGCTGATCGAGAAGACATTGTTGCCCTTCTGCGAATACTTTTGCACCCGAAGGCAACCCGAGGCGGTTGCCTTTTCAGCGCACTTGGACGCCGAGGTTGCATTACTACAAAGCTGCCTCAGCCGCTTGGCTTGAAGCAGATTGCGTGGTCTGAACAGCGGAGCGTGGTAGTTTATACATCGCGATATCTGCAAGAGATGCGGTGCAACTCGATTAATAGAGAAACCCCTGAATATACTGGGCATTTGTGTTTTCATAGAAAATTTGGATCACTGTAGAATTTCTCTTAAAAATTAAAGGAAGGAAGTGTTCGAAACGGTGTGGGGAGTGTAGGACGTGTAGAATGAAAATGATGATCCGATTCAGTAAAAATACAAATCTAGAGCCTACTGAAAAAAAGATTTTTGAGCGCAGTATGCAATTCCACAATTTTGCTTTTTATAAGATCTAAGGCCCAAATACATATTAATATTTAGTCCTTTTCATTAAACTTTCCTTGTACTTTATGCAGAAATATGATCCTAATATCTATTTGTATAGCACCTGATTTCTGCAAAACTTACCTGTAAATAGTGCGTTATTCTACCAAACAACCGCATAATTATATTACCACTTCAGCCAAAATAACTATTTCAAAAATTTAGAAATTTTGAATTTTGATTTTTTTATTTTTTATTAAGGTATCAAATAGGTTGTGAAAGCTAGGAGCTGTGTTTGGAGACTGAATCAAACATCTTGATTGAAAGCATGAACTTAAGTTGACGAGCCTACTATTTTTTTAAATTGTATCGTTTTTTGTATTTGTTTAATAATATTATTAGAACGATCTAGAATTTATTGATAAAGTCGATGAGTCCAATATTTCTATGCAGATGCGAAGTCTGTCAAACGCAAGACGTTTTCGGGGGCCTCTAAATGCATTTTGAATTAAATTTAGGTACAATTGCCCATACCGTTGTTGAATATTAATCAATTTCTGACCGGCCGCTTGCCTTCAGTTGGGCTCCGGCCACCCAAGTATTTGGTGGTCACTCGATTCAGTTTAGTTCGGTTTTTGCTTTTGCTGGCAGCGGTTTCGGTTTCAGATTGATTTCTAGTTGTGAATTTCATTGACAATGTTGCGATTGGCCAGTTCCACATATAGTTCCATATGTTGTGTTATATTTCTAAATGTAAGCGACAATTGGTAACTTGTTGGCTACATCGACCTGTGTGTTTTTTAATAGTGACTCATAAAATATTGCAATTTTAAGTTTGGTGTAGGTCAGGCATAGAGCTTTAAAATAATATCATGAAAATTGAAAAAAAGTTTAATTCAAGGCTAGATTGACTATAATTTTCATACTTGCTATATTATAGTATATAATAGTAATACATGTCACTATGTTATACAGATATATACAGGAATTGTTTTCTTTTTTGCTAAAAGGCCTTTAAAAAAATTGTAAACACCCTTTTTTATCTTACTGTTTTTGCGAAAAGTTTAAATCTTGTGCATCTTAATAATATACTTATTTTTACAAGCATGCCGATTATAATGTTGTACACAAAATTCTTAAGAAATTTTTAGAGAGATTTTCACCTCTCCCTTGATTTACTTTTTCGCAATATAGACAGTCGCATTAATATGCCTCCAAAAAAATCATCTTTGATTTGCATTACTGTCATATCCCATAGAACATTTCAAGGTCCCGAGACGCGTGCGCGTTGGGATTTGAATATAGAAAGCCTCATTATCGGTAGGATTCAATATTCATTAACGTACGTGTAGCCGGTCATTAAGCGCCAATTAAAGATTCCATTTCTCCTGTATACACCTGCAGTTTTTGTGGCTGCTGCTGCTGACGGCGACATCGGCGAAACCAACCAACTCCACTGATTCCAATCCCACGAATGAAATGCAACATGTGACTAGCTTTGTGAACCAGAAACCGAAATCCGGAGACCGTATGGAGTTCGATTTTGAGCGGAATGAAGCGGAGGCCACCAACTCGGCACACGTGCATCAGCTATTCGGCAGTTTGCTGCAACTGCCAGGAAAGGGAAACATGAGTCTGGAGCTGTCTTTGGAGACGGATGACGAGCCGGTCAGTGAACGCAACCAGCTGGCTGATGAAATGGATCCCATTGGAGAGCAGCATGAGGGCTTTACCGAATCTGAGGACGCCTGGCATCGCATCAAGTTGAATATTCCGGTTCTTGAGCCTGTGAAGCACCTGATCAATACGGTGGGCGGTGGCGGGGTGAACGACTCACATGTCAAGAGCAACACCCATCGGCTGATCGGACACCATGGCGTCCACGAAACTCATCATTCGGGCGGTAACATCAGCTCTCCGGCAATCGAAACGGAGGAGGATCGGGAGACGGCCATCGACAGCACTGGCTTCGATGTCCTGGAAACGCTGGGAACTGCTGGCACGGTACTCATTGGCATACTGCAGAATCTCCGAAAGCTGTTCGCCGCCAGCGTCGGGAATGCAAGTTCGGCTTCCTCTGGCGGTGGTGGTGGAGGAAACTAGTTGATTCCTTCCGTAGCTTGAGTTCTGTGATTAATATTAGCCCTACGTTTATTGGACTCCCGTCAATCTTGATTCTAACTAATAAAGTGAACGAAATGTAATGAAAACAACGAAAATCATATCGGTTTTATAAAATCATTATGGAAAAATAAAGAGTAGATTATTTGCTTCAATAGAACCACAAAGAATATTAAAACTAACACACGATACAATCCTAACAGATTTCAGCGATACCCCAGATATAAAATTCGATTTACGGAAGTCATATTAAAGACCATTTAAAATATTTTAGTGGCTTATTTCTAGTATGCTATGCGGTCTTTTGAAGGAGCCTACATGAACTCGTAACTGCCGTCGTCGAAGTTGCGATTGCCGACCATTGGACCGCCTGCGCCCATTTGATTGGGATTCTGGCCGCCCATCTGCGGACGGAACTGGTTACCCGGCGTGGTCTGATGTTGCAGTAGTTGACGAAGACCTGGATTGTTGTTGCTCATCATGGGACGCACCATGCGCTGCTGTTGCTGTTGCGCCTGCTGCTGCTGCATGGCGGCCACATTGGGTGCCACTTGTTGCAGCTGCTGCTGCAGATTAGGATTGGGTACGCCACCCGGGCCAACGCCCACGCCCAGAGGCATCCGCTGTTGCTGCATCATGTTCATCTGCATTTGGTTCTGCTGCATGGGCATACCACCAGGCCCAGGACCCGGTCCTCCGCCCGGACCTCCGCCGCCCATCTGCATGTTGAGCTGATATTGATTGTAGTGCTGCTGCTGCGAGTTGTCCTGCTGCATCTGTTGCTGCTGTTGTTGCTGCAGTTCCATCGGCGACTTGCCCTGCTGCTGCATCATCTGCTGCTGTTGTTGCTGCTGCTGCATGCTACCATGCTGCTTTTGCTGAATTACTTTGCGAAGACGTTCGACGAATATCGCCTGATTGTTGGGAATGAAGCCCAGAAAGGCGTTGCGATCGGGCGTGTAGAGCAGTATGAGCACCTTGAGATCGCAGGCGGGCGCATTGGGAATGGAGGAGAAGTGGACGCAGCCTGCGTAACCGGAGGTCATCATCTTAGCCAGCGAATCGAGCGCTTCTCCAGGAGACGGTCGAAAAACGACCATCTTCGAATCCTTGAGGAACTGGCCGCCAATGTTACCAACCAAGTGCTTGGGCATCAGTTGCATCAGCAGTTTGGGCGGCCAATTCTCAGCCTTGATTTCAGGCTGGCCATCTTTGATGTTGGTGCACACGGTGCACTGGAGCGAGTGTGGAATCTTTTGAGGATCCGATTTCGGCTTCTCTGACCACTCCAGAATGCCTGTCCAAATCTTTTCCCTTAAGGAGGCCTGCTCCTGCTGCGGATTCGCCTGCTGCTGCTGGGGATTGCCCTGCTGCTGGGGATTTGCCTGCTGTCCCACTTGCTGCTGCTGTGGGTTTGGCATGTTGCCCGCATTTCCAGCCGGCATCATGTTGTTGCCGGCATTGGGATTGACCTGTTGCTGCTGCTGTCCTTGCTGCTGTTGTTGCTGGGCCATTTGTTGTTGCTGCTGCAACTGCTGGTGGTTCAGCATCTGCTGCTGGCTGAGCAGCATCCTCTGTTGTTGCTGCTGTTGCACTTGTTGCTGTTGCTGCTGGGCCTGCTGTTGTTGTTGCTGCTGCAGCGAAGTCACCGTTTGATTGGGAGGTGGTGCGTTAATTCGTGAGATCAGCGCAGAATTGGGATTCTGCTGCATGCCTCCGCCTTGTCCAACACCACCCACATTGCCTGCTCCCTGCATGAACGGCGGTCGCGCTTGTCCCGGCTGATTGGGATACATCCATCGGTTTTGGCCGGGCCCCACGTTCTGCTGGAAGTTTGGATTCTGCATCTGGTTTGGCACAAACTGATTTTGTTGCTGTTGCTGCTGTTGTTGTTGTTGCTGCTGCTGCTGCTGCAGAAGTTGCTGTTGCTGCTGGGGATTGAGATGGCCCGCTTGCGGATTGGGACCCGTCTGTTGTTGCTGCATCGAATTCATGTTCATCACTTGCTGCTGGGGATTGCCCTGCTGCTGTTGTTGTTGCTGCTGCTGCTGTTGTTGTGCTGGGGTGGTATCCATCGGCATCCCCTGTCCTGCTTGCTGCTGACCCGCTGCATTTTGTTGCTGTTGCTGCTGTTGGACGGCCGCCTGGGCTGCATTGGGTGCGGCCATCTGGGCCGCCATGCTGTTGGGACTGGGAGCCCGCTCCTTAAGGCTGTAGCCCTTAAGTAGCACCAAGTGTCGAATGTTCTTGGCATAGTTTTTGCTGGTGATGGGTTGGTCACCATCGGCCTTCATGAACAGCTTGAACAGGATTGGCATCTTGCGCGGCGCAATGATGGAGAGATTAATCTTTCGCTCGTTAAAGAGCGCTGCCAGTTGTTCGCATGACTTGCCCGGATACTTCCACGACTCCGTGGTGGGCATCTGGTAGGGAGGACTGTTACAGATGAGAATGCAGTGCCGCTGGACGTTAGTCTGGTCGAGCAACTGTCGCCGCTCGCTAAGGTCGTCAAAGCAGCCGTGGGCCGCGGCAAATCCTTCGGCCATGTGGGCACACGACTCCATTCCGCCTCCAACCAGCGGCAGTCGTTCAATCGTTTCCATCACTTTTTGGGGCTGCAGAAAGGGTCCGTAGGTGGTACACACGGGCTCGAGCAAATTTGCCGCGGTGCGGTAGACCACGATCCCGTAGAGCGTGGCATAACGCTCTGCAATCAGGTATTCCCGCTCGTCGATGGAGCCAGTGGTAAAGTGCTCCAATGTCGGCAAAATGTAGTTGGTCTTTAACTCGTTGATGTACGCGCCGTTTATAGCGCTGCCCTCTATGATGAAGACCACGTCAGCCAGAGGCATTTGGTCCACCTCCATGGTCAGCACGGAGAGTGGAAATTGGTTTTAAATGCAGAAACTTGTTGCAAAAAATGCAATATGTTGTCTGCTTTTTTCCGCTCTTCTTCTTCTCCTGCACTTTGTTATGACTATCGTTCTGCTACTATCGATGTAAAGTGAATAGGGTTGTCTTCGAAAACTTAATATCGAAAAAACTATCGTTCACGATAGTTGCGAATGTTGCCAGACAGAGAGAGGCTTTTACGCTGTCTGGCAGCCCCGTCAGCTGTTCCTTTTCACCAACTTGCGCCGTTCCGTTTTGTTCAGTTCATTCGCCGATTTTGCAGAAAACGGACGTTGGCCATTAGCTCCGCGTTGTTTTGCCCCAAAAATTCGTGAAAAACCACGCTAAACGCTATTAAAGTGACAAATTACTAAACAATTGCCAGTAAACAGTGTGAAGTGCGTAGAAAGCAAGCCCTTAAAGAGTTTTAAATCGTCGCAAAAGTAAATTGCGGGCTTTTTTTGTGGCCGTCGCAGAATGTGTTGCACAAAGCGGAAAGCACGCTAATGAGCGTGCAAGCGACTAAAACGCAAGGAAATGTAAATAAATAAACGTGTCTAGCCGCGATTATTGTGAAAAGTCAACAAACCAGTCAGTTGGCCGGTGAAAAGTGAGTGAAATCTGAGTAAATTTGTACAATTTGTCCAATTTGCTTTTGGCCATAAGAACAGCTGTTGTTTTCCTTCTCGCTCTGTCTGGTTGAGCGTACTTCTCTTGCTCTTTTGCCCTCTCTCTGTTTTTGTTGCTCCTCTATGTTTGTGTTTTTGTGTTGCAGTTATTCCCAAATCGTTTTATTCTATTATTATAATTATTTTTGTCGCCCTGACGTCATTGATTTAACTAATACTTTAGGTATGCATTAACATATTTAAAGTACGGTATAGAGTGTATAAAAGCAACTTTAAAGACCATGTGTCCACAGCATGCCTTGTTTGTTATTGTTGCCTGGCAACATGTTTCGCCACATCTTCCTTTTCGTTCTTTTCCGCTGTTTTCCTTCCATGTTGCCAATAAGTAACTTTTCCATTTGTTTACAATAATTGCGATCTAGCCAAAGGCAACGATCGCAAAAATATAGCGCCTACATAAAAAGCGGTAGAAGCTTGGGCGTCACACTGACTGTGAATTGCTCGCTAATTGAGTATTTTTGCAATTAAATGCCCTTCCTAATCCATCTGACTTTTTTATATAATCTTGATTAGTAGTAGCTATTTTATTTTAAATAGTTCGTAGCTGGACATCATCAAAATTTAATTTTGTAATACCACTGTAGTTTGTATAGCAAGTGCCGACTTTGTAACAAACTTATTAGGATATCAACCTCCGATAAGGTAACATACATATAATAAACAAACATATTGTTATCTGTTGGAACAAAGCACAGAGGGTGTCAACTATGCATATATGTATGCATATATGTGTTCGAACGGAATAATAAACCTTTCAATCAATATTTTACCATTATTATTTGGACTTTTTTTTCCCAACTATTGACCGAATATAAAGGACTTTATTTTCTTTTTTTTTATTTTGATTAAATTGTTAAATAAAATGTTCTAACTAAAAATAGCCCATAATATACACACATTTGTTAAGGGTATAAAATTACTTTTTGGCTTACTTGTGCATCCTACTATTCCGTCATCGTTTTCTGATTTATGTGATTTTGTAGATCTCGTTTGCTCGAGCTGAGTTTTCAAGTTTTCCCACACAAACAAAGTAATTTGTATTATTTATTGCACCAACAAAAATAGTTACTTATGGACATGCCAATTGAGATTTCTGCAGGTTAAAGAATACTATAAACAAAATGAATTTTTACTATAATTTATGTATCACAAACTATCGCAAAAAGTTTCCTGAGTGTTAAAGTTCTTGACATATGGGTTGATAGGAACAATTTGGAATAATAATTACAAAATCCAAAAAAGAACAACGTTGTTAAATGACCTAATTATTCGTATTCAGGCCACAAAATATACAAATCATGATATTTTTGACAAAATCCGAGATCGTAGGTCATTGGGAACACACTAAGCCTGTTATCGGTCAGTGTGGTGATAAAAGCCTGTTGTAGTTTTTTCTACTTTTGTTTTAATTGTTCCCACTTACTTTTTAAGAGGGCTGATAAGAGCAAGACAATTTGACAGAACCCCCTTTTTAACCTGGTCAAGTGGTAACTTTAAACTAGCTGCTCGTTATAACAGCTCCCTCAAAAGTATTTATTTAACAATTTTCCACTTTCTTTAACTACTTTACCCTACTTCCAGCTACTGGGGAACTAAAAACAAGAGAATCCACTGCGGTGCTGATTACGATGGGCGAAGGTGTTCCCATTTTCAGAGTTCTTATCGGGCAACGACTGAAATATGATTGAGTTGGCCTCTTCTCCAATTTTCGTCTGTTTCTGGTTCCGGTGCACTGAAACCCGGCCGGACTCGATCCGGGAGGACATCTGATGGTCTAATGCGATTCGGTGGTGGCCAGGGAATGGAACATGCCCGTGGATATGCATAAGAACGTATCAGTTCAAGTCGATAGTGATTTTGCCTTATTGCTACCCAGTGGAGTTTATGAAATCAAAAAAATGGAACCGCGCCCCAAAATACGAACAATCATTGTATTTTGTCTTTTTCTGGCAATCGCCGGCATTATCGGATTCGGATACTTTTGTCAAGATCAGGTAAGCCCCAAAGCCCCGATAATTAATTCTCATTGCGTTAACCATAAATTACTTTTCCTTTTGTATACATTATTTCTGACTCTTGGCGCCAATGCAAATTAGCACCCATTGGGCAAATGCTAAATTTCATAATTTATATTTGGCGTTTTGTGTTTTTATTGAATTTACCATTCATTCTTTCGGTGGACGAAACTTGTTTTTCTACCGCGCATCAATAAATTTATAAGCTTGAGGCTTGCATATATGTGTGTTTGATTATAAATTTGCGTTGGAATGTTTGCCATTGAATTACAGGCAGTTTTATAGAATGGAAATCCTCCTGGCTGTTTATCTGATTTCCCGAGCTTTAATTAGACGAAACAAAATGTTTTGTTTACAACCTTTCGTATGGCGCCTTAGTACAATTTTGAAATTGTTTACGCAAAGGTGTTAAGGAAATATGCTCTGAATGAAATTTTCCTTATTAGTACAAAAATCTGTACCATTGTAAAGTTCTTTACAGAACATACACGACTACTTATGATTTCTGTTCTTACTTACCTAACTTCTTAATAGATTTTCTAATCTAAAGCACAGCTTTTAGTTAGACTTTTTTTGTATTTAATTGGGGTCACTGGTCACTATTTATAATCAGTCCAATCCATAAATCATAAACGCACGGGCTTGATTAAAATGTGTCTCATTTGTGGGGAGGCTTCTCCTCCTCTTTTAATGAATGATTTAATGGTCGATGTGTAAAGTGCGGCCATTAAAAGCAAACCAAGTGATGACAATGGAGGCAAAACAGCGCATAAAATTCTACCCTGGGGACACATCAACTCTGGCCAGACAGTATTCACTCAACTTTGGAATAATGCTGCGGATATGTAGATTTAACAAATAATCCATCCCATGCCAGTCATCTCTAATATTAGCATCGATAAATTCGTTAAAAGAGATCATTAATTTCCAAATGCAGCCGGAAAACTCGATGTGTTCGAGTTCTATTTATGTGCCTGTTGAGATACGTTTTGGCGATATTTAATTAAACAAGAAACAAATTTGTGAATTCTCTTAGAACTGAAATAATCAAGTGGGCGTGACTTTAGGAATGAGTTCAATGTCAAATGTCGGTGTTTATGATATAGATACGTTTTTGTATGTTTATTCTAAAGACAACTCTTATTAAGATTTCTGTTTTTTGTTTCGACACTTGGCAAGGCATCTTTCAGTGTGTATGAAATATTTTCCAAATTGAAAAAGCTAGCAAAATGACATTAATTGAGCGCAGCTGCCTTTTCTACATTTTCCGCACGCGATCTTGCCAGACATAGTGACTAGCAGGGCGTGGCCACGCCCTTTTTTGCGATGCCGTGTGCGTGCGTTGGAAAATTCGCCCTCTTTAAAAATAGCTTAATTAGTTGTACGCGCCATAACAGAAGAACATGCTTAAATGAATAGTGTGGCGAAAGTCAAACATGAAAATGAGATAGGTTGCGTGTCTAATAGAAAACAGACAGATTATTTTATTATTTCGGAAGCGAAGGCGGCCCATTTCGGGGCACTCAGATTTGTGTTCTTAATGGGCCAAGTTGAACATAAATTACTCGTACTCCGTATTTATTTTATTTCCGTAATTCTTGAACTCTTGGTACTTAGTTTGATTAATTACAAGCGATTTTTAATTGTCCTGCTTTGGGGAATTTCGGTTGCAGTAACTGTCTTCTTTCAGATCATTAAGTCGGTAATGTTGCCACTGTGAAATGGTATTTTTTGTCAGCTTTTGTGCATGTTTCTTTTTCAAAATGTTTTCTTTTGGCCTTTTTAAGTGATAGGTTGTAGAGATATAAACGTGAACACTCTATTTACAACTCTTATTCCTCTAGCTTACCTAAGGTAGCCACAAGTGTGTAAACACTATCGACCACCTTAACATAAACAAATTCGTTGACTACTACTCTGAATATTCAATGCGTCGGATTTTCGGACTGCCAGCAGCTCTTTTTTGAATGCTGTATTTTTATTTCTAATTTGGTTTTATTTATTTCAATTTATGCAAATTTTGAATCACTGAATATTTATTCAGTCTTGATAAAAAGTCATTAATTAAACGCTGCTGTTCGAGTGGCTTGAGTTGTTTGAGTTGTAAATAAATTGTGGTTAGAGGGATTTTGTGATTGTTGTGACGTCCGATCTGTAATTGTTTACGCAATATCCGAATGGGGTCCAAAGTTCAATTACAGGTGTGTGTTTTTATTTATGTATTCTTCGTCGGCTCTTTGGTTTGCCTGATTGAATAAACAAACCCAATGTTTATTATTTCAGTACGCTTGCATATTCAACTTTCATATTTGTTGCAGTGGTTGCCTGAATTTCAGACCAATTCCCAAAGCGAAGCTAATGAAATGAAAACTATTTATTACTTGTTTTTTGTTTTCTCGGTCGATTGTTTTCTGAAATTTATACCGCTGTCTGCACAACGAAAACGTTTTGTTTTTAGTTTTTATGGCTGCTCTTTCACATACATATCTATGCGTTTTGTTCATCGTTGTTGTGGGCCTTGTGTATTTACCAAATTACAGGGGAATGAGCAGTATATGAAATTCCTGTATTTATAACAGTTTTTATGTCTCTATTAAAACTGCAAAACAGTTGTCGTTACCTGCTAGATCGTGCCAAAGTTTGACTACAGCTTTTGGGCCATAACAAGTTTACTCCATGAATACACTTTTGGTTTTTGTTTATGCGTTTTATTAGCCAAGATTTATTTGTAGCCTCCATTTTATTGTTGTCTTTTTATTGCTGCGTTAATCAATTTAATTAGGTGTGGGATTTATTGATGTAGAGAGAATTTGGTAAAACATTTTTACAGATTTGTCACCATAAATTTAAAAGAACAGCGTACGATTTTGATATCTGCTTGGGACTTTAAATATTTCTGTAGAAATGCAGTCCCGCTGTGACTTAAATGTCTCAATTACCTTTAATTCGAGCTTTTAATGTGTGATTTAATACTGCAGTCGAAGAAATACATATATGGTTACAAACGGGGTTGCGTGGGTCTTTCTAATAATTTCTAGCGGACTCTGTGTCAAATGCCAATAAACCCCACAGAATTTGTTTTATTATTCTCTCGCTACGATCAAGATAAGTTTCAGAGCTGCCTTAACCATTTCAGGAACTTTGGCATAATCAATTAGCATTAATATGCCTGCCATGTGACGTCTTCATTACGTCCCAGTCAAAGACCAGTAGCTTCCATGGAAAAAACACAAAAGCAGCTAAGAAATAAGATGAGAGCAAACAAAAAAAAACCGCAAAACACATAAAGTCCAGACCAATTAAACTATCAGCCATCTGAAATGTGCGGCAAAGGGAAGGGGAGTACAAAAAATTTCAAGCACCGCACATGCCGCAAAAAAGCAAGAGCCGGTCATAACTCAAGTCGCACATGTCATAAAGCTTGTCGAAGGGCGAGATCCGGGGGAAGTGTGTCAGGCGGCACTTTAATGTGGCCTCTGTGGGGCAAATGAATTTCCAGATTCCCGAACAGCAAGAGACAAAAGGGCATTATTCACGCCTGTTTGAAGCTAATTCGTGCGCGAAAGATCAAAAAAACGGTCAGACTGCAAATCAGATGCTCAGATATCGGTTCTCTTTTCACCAAGAAAAAAAAAATTTTGAGGATGCAGCGTCTTGAATACCGAAACCCCTGGACAAATTAGCCAGCCAAAAAAAACAAAACCCGTTGACTGGTTTAGCTTTTCTTTGTGATAAAAGTTTTTTGATAGCCCAGCTTGCGTCGCCGTCCTCCCTCTTTTCTTTGAAGAGAAACCGGTTTTGCTTTTGTCTCGGCAACTTATAATTTGGTGTATTGCTTTGGGTAAGAAAGACTGGTGTTTTTATAAATAATTTTTTAGAAATTAAATTAATTACGAGTATATTACCTTATGTTAATAAAAATCATAGTTTTTTATTTCAAACATTTTTTTACTATATTAAAATAAAATGCTGTAAAAGGAGCCATCCAAAGGGCATCAAGAATTCCATGTGCTCTCATATTTTATTCTTTATTGGACCTCAAAAGCGAGGTCTGATCTTTTAAAAGCGCTGTAAACTGATAGCCGTTTATGATCTTAAATGGCAATGCAGGTAGATAGGGGACTGCATATATACTTATATGGTTTTTAGTACCTCTATGGCGGTCAAGTTTTAATTTCACTTTTATTAATTAAAGTCGGGCAAATTTTGAATGAACAAAATCAAGTTTACTTACCCATAACATTTACAAATGCAGTACGATTACATTCGTGGTGTTAAGAATGAACACACATTTTTGAAGCCTTACACTGCATATTGATTTGTTTGAACGGAATCGCAATATTTTTGGAGAATTCGTTTCATTAGTGGTGGTAACAGATGTGCGCCGCCAGCATTTACAAAATTTCCATTCGTCTGTTTTTCCACTCTTGGCGTTTTGAAATCCATTTAGAATTATTCATTTATGTGCAAAATCATTGTGCCGCAGCAATTGGCAATTAGAAATTCAATTCAAACGTTTTGTAAAATGCAATTAGCGTTTTGTAATACTAATTGGAATCATTTCGCTGTTGCTGCACCATGTGCATTTAAGTCCTGGCTAATTTGATTATTTTGGGCTCAGCGTTATGCAATGCGAGCATCAGGGAGGCTAGGTGAATTATCATTTTGGTGCAGGAATTCAGAGTACAATGAAATGTAAGTCGGATTTTACGAGCAAAGCTATTTGACCTTAAATATTCTGAAAATTGTATGCGCATTACAGTTTTGTTTGAGAGTTTTAAATGTAAATGGTGTTGCACAACTCAAAAATCAACTTATTTTTTAAAGCTTCATTAATTCCTTTCATTCAAAAAAAAAAAAAAAAAAAAATGTGCCAAGTTGCGTTGGGCTTCAGAACTATATTGTTTTGAATAATTGAAAATGTTTTGCAGACATTCCCTGCAACTTTATTGGCCTCAATAAAACATTAAAACTCATTT